TATATGTGTGTGTGAGTGTTTGAGGCAGACGACTGTGATGAGAAATCTCATATATATTATATGAATTCAAAACAAACAAGTTAGTAAAAGGGCCTCTCTCTTTCTTAACTTCTCATCAGAGCTGTAGGCCTTTTTAGGGGTTTCCTATGTAGATTATTAATTACCAGCATGGGTCAGAGGTTACTGTATGTTACTAACAGATGTAAATCAAAGCGTATGAGATGTAGTAATATATGGAGAATAATGATGACTCTTATACAATCGAGAATCTGTACAACTCAATCAATAAATAATGAGAACGTGATTACAAATAATCGATAGGAAATGGGAGCAAATATGAATGGAAAAGAGAGACAAAAGATCTATTGACAAATGTATTTCATTGGATTATTTTTCCCCTTGGATTCTGAGAGGAAAATAAGGCTTCAACAGTATGTCTCTATTTTCTCCGTTTCAATGTAATCCTCCATTATAGATAAAATCTCATTTTGTTTAATTCACACAGTGTGGTTACACAGTAATATTTACTGATGATGACCACGTTTCGAGCACAATATATTACTACTGCTCATAATCATATCAAGGTATTCAATCACTCACACACAGCTTTCTTCCTTCAGTAATATACATGAGTGAAAATTGATGATTTGACATTGGAATAACAATCAATATAAGATGAGAACAGTTGTCTTCGCTCAATACTCAATATCAGATGGCCAGCCAGAAAAGATCAGCAACAGGGATCTCTGGCAATGAGCGAACCAATCCAGCAGGAACCGATTGTGAAACAAATAGGCAGGAAGGAATAGAGATAGATTGGCCATACGCTGAGGAAATCATCAAGTGAGTGACATCACTAGACAAGCCATTGCTCGAGTGTAACCCAAAAGGGAAGCGGCGAGTTGATCGTTAGTGAGAGGGTAACTTGGAGGAGGTCATGTGAGGAGGAGATGAAAGCATGTGAGCAGACTTGGAGCGGAGTGAAAAAGTTGGCAGAAAACAGAAGGCAATAGAGATGCGCAGCTGAAGCCCTATGTTCCTCTAGGAATTAAAGGATAAAATAATAATAATAAGTGAGAGAGTACATTCAGAAATAATATTAGTGTTATAAATGAAATACAATCAGATGAGAAATAAGATGTTTTTATAGTAAGATAAATAAATAACTTGCTAGAATGTTATAATACGAATTGAATTGAACACATTTTAACACTATTACTTATTATCCTGCTCTGATTTGACTGACTGGTGGTAATAATATCTTTCATACATATCTCTGGTATATACACTGAGTCACTTCTGTTATGCATGTGCGTTGGATGTAGACTCGATGATGCAGGATCAGTGATCAATGTCTTTCACTTTCCTTGTATCCATATTACTCTTTAGAAATCTGACTCTGTCCCTGGTTCATCGAATAATCTACACCAAACACATGAAACAGAAGTCATTCAACTAAAATACCAGAGATACTGAAGATATTATTACTACAGGTCAGATCAGAGGATAATAAATAATGTTAAGGCGTGTTTCAGTTCACATACCTTATAACACTCTAACAAGTTATTTATTTATTTTACTATAAAACATCTTATTTCCCATCCTATTGCATTTAATTGTTAACACTGATATTAGTATTATTTCCGTATGTACTTCCCCATCTTATGGTGATTTTATTCAAATGTTTAATCATCAATTTTCACGCATGTATATAAATGATACCAGATAGTTGTGTAAGTGAGTGACTTGATTTGATTATGACTGGCAATAATTTTTGCTCGACACATGATCATCAGTATATATTACTGTAAACCAACACTGTGTGAGACTTTATCAAAACAAAATCTTATCCTTAAATGTAGATGTACTCTACTACTGCAGTGCCAAAGTTTTTATTTTATATAACTTAGGTTGCATGAAGATGTAAACTGAATTTGTTTGACTAATCTCAGCCTTATTTGTGAATGACTTTGATTGAAATTAATCGATGCTGAATTACCAGAAATAATAGTGGTCTCTAGAACTGACTGATTGTTGATTGTTCTAAGTTCTGCTTTCGACAAACATGCTGGTACGTTTTCATGATCAAATCTAGACAATATCATGCTGGTACGGTCTGTATACTTAACTCTCTTAATAGAAAGTACTTTGGTAAACACACACTGAGGTGACTTACAGTAGGATATTGTTTTTGACTTTTTAGACGGCAGCAGCAACTTCAGTGTGTATTTACTAGTCCGCGGCATGCGGAAGGGTTCAATAAATCTACGGAAGTCTGTGCTAAGTACTAAATACTCAAGACTTTGATTTTCATGATTATCTTTGAAATTTACAATTAGCGTACTTTAATTCTTAATTAAGTAGTATCCAAAGAAGATAAGTCTATGCTCATGCAGTTAGTTAGAATTCGAGTGGTCATAACTCATTCGGCTATTTGAGCCGAGTCAAAATAAGCCCACTTCTGATTAGCTTGGCTACAAGTCATTCACTATCGGAATCACTTTATTTTGCTTTTAAAGCACTATTAGTTGATGTGAGTACTGACCAATTACATGTACCATCAACAATCAACAAGTGGATCTACTGTTAAGTTTAGACCCACTGCTATAACCTCACCTTTTTTGAAAAGTTATGGAGAGACTTATTTTACTTAATCTTGAACCGTCTTTAAAGCTTTTTAATGACCCCAACCAGTTTGCTTATAAACATAGTAGGTGTACCTAAGATGCCGTTGTTGTCCTATATCATAATATAGTGTCTAGTTTAGGTAGAGTAGCTACATACGTTCGCTGTGCCTTCCTTGATTACACATCTGCATTTGACTCTGTTCCTAGGTTTCTCTTGCTTGCTGCAACACAGGCTGAGAGCTGGACAAATAAGTGGTTGTATTCCTATTTTTCTGATGGGAAGCAGTACACCGTCTACAATAGAAAGTCTTCCACTACCTCACTTACTTTAGCTGGTGTTACCTCAAGGTGCTGTTCTTTCTCCTTTTCTGTTTTCTTTTTTCCTACATGACTTGCTCCATTCTGATGTAGCCACTTTTGTTAAGAATGCCGATGACCTCTCTGTTTGTATGCCTGTCAACTCTCAGTCAGATTGTTCCAAATTAAAAAAACTTTCTATCGGAAATTAGTCAGTGGTCCTCTTCAAATGGTCTTAAGCTGAATCCGTCTAAATGTCAGGTAGTGAATTTCACTTTCAGATGTTAACGTGACCTACAACAATTAGTTAGCTCACATGGCCCCACTATCATTAACGGCACAGAGGTTGAAAATACATCTGATGTCAAGTACCTTGGGCTGAGCTTTTCCACCGAACTTTTATGGTCCTCCCACATCTTGCTAGTTACTAGAAAGATGTTTCGCTTAACGTTTTACGTTAGGAAATTTAGGCAGTCTGGGATAAAGCGGTCTTTGCTTTCTCAGTTTCTAAATTCTTGTATTCCACCCATCTCCCTTTACTGCTCCCCATTAATCTTTCCTGGACTACTTAAGAAAGACTTAGCTTTGCTGAGAAGGACAGGCACTAAAAGCCGTTAGTAGGGCAAGTGGGATATCGTTAAACCAACTGGTTAACACTATTGTGGACAGACATATAATGTCATGTAAGAAACTAGCGAATACAATATTGTCAGACCCCGAGCATCCTCTCTATACGCAGCTGTCTCCTTGCATTTCATCTGGTAGAACTAGAAGCAGCTATAGGAGGCTGGCTATATGCTAGGACTACCAAGTACAAAATCTCCACAATACCATATCTGGCACAGCTGTTATGTGACGAGAAATCCGTTAGGTATGACACGATCAACTTACTGCGCGGCACTCTAACAAACAGTCCCATTAGTTTTTGTTTTCCTTTCCTCGTTACTATTACACTGTCGTTCTCATCTTCTATTACACACCAATTTTATATTTCATTTCCTGTGGTCCATTGTTTAAAATGTAAACGCAACGCTGTTGTTTTTATTTATTTTTTATTTTTCTTCTTTTGTTTTGGGTGTTGCTTTTTGATTTTGAAATTTTATAAAATTTATGAGGTAATTAGATGCAATACATTGTAATGCACGCTGAGAATTCCATACCTGTACCACAAATATTGTTTGGAATAAAGCTGTTATTATTATTACATATACCAACTAGTGGTATATATTATTATGTTATGCAGAAGGAAGCTCAGATGGATTGGACATACTCTACAGAGACATTCCAACGAAATCACTCGTCAGTTCTACAAGCTAAAGGTAAGTGGGAAGAGACGAGTTGTGTTTCTAAGGGTGACACGAATAAGACTATCTGATGAAGAATTTTAAGCTTGTGAGTAGTCGTCGAGCCAACTGATAGCAAAGAACACGCGCGCTATAAGCACATATTCTGCTTAGAAAGTAAGGAAGGAATATAATGATTTGATAATAAAACCAATGTATCAGCTAAACCACATAACTTTCAAGTGTCATTTCCTAGATACTTGACTGGTTTCAGTATTGGTTACCAACTGACTTCAGTTAAAGAGACACTGAAAGACAAGGAGCATTCTCAATCAAATCCCTGGAAATGAATTCTTGAAAGTTCATCACGAGCTCACTGGTGATTGACTGCAGGGTGAAATGACCTGAAATTTTAGTAAGAAGTTGTGGCCAGAGGTTTTCACGAAATTATGTGTGAGGATAAATACCCGGCAATGACATACATCGCGAAACGGTAGAAGTTGGAAATGCCAAGCCACTGAACTTCTGCCCGAGTGGCTGAATTGTAAATGGACTCGCAGTGTATCCTAAATGTCCCGGATGCGTGCTTTGAAGAGTCCCAGTTACGGGCAAAACAACTGTTCATAACTCTCCGGTTTTTGCTGGTCCTGTAAATGAAGTCAGTTCATGATCATTTTTAAACCAGATAACTTTTGCCACATTGCAGTTTATAAAATCCTTCTTTATTGGTTTGCTAAAGTAACATTGTGACGTTGTGTATATTACGTAATCCTTTCTTTGATTTTCTATTTAGTGGACCATTTCATTATGAATTATTATTGAAACCCGATCTGTATACAAAGCGACATGTTCAATGGTATTTCTTTTCTGTACAAAATGCTCTACCTGGTTTCACATACACATTTCTAATTGTTAACTTTACAAAACCAACAAGTTTATATTCACAAGGTTAGTTTAATACGGGGTTGATTATCGAACTGTATTCACTGAACAAGATTGAATGATAAAATCAGAAAAATAATCTGTAAATGTATTTTTTTCTCAAGTTATTATCATTCCTTCGGGTTCCCAGTGGAATATAGGGCTTTAACAACACCTCTTCAATTTCTTTTCTTGTCTACTGTTCTATTCGTCTGGCTAGCTCCACTCACGACTCACTCATCTGTTCTCATTGGGATTCCACTTGAGCTTTGTCCTGGCTCTAGATGTCATTCAACGGTCTCCTCGGAGACGTGTGCACGATCAATCCATCTCTACTTTCTCCTGCATATATTTTGAGCAATGGGCTCTCACTTGTTGGTTTGTTTCACTGAAGAGTTTCTTGTTGCTTATTCTTTGCACTGGCCAATAGGCCATTTGACCTTCAGTATGGAGGGAAAGCAGATCTTGATAAAAGTCTGCAGTCTGTTGAAAATCCTTCTCGTTAAACGCTAAGATTCTGACGCGTATAGAAGGATCGACTTGACATTGCTGTTGAAGGGAATCCGAATCTTGCTCCCTATACTGAGTGTAGAAGAATTCCATACTAGTTTCAGACTGATGAAGGTGTGTCTTGCCTTTCCAATTCTGATTTTGACATCTTCATCCGTTCCGCCTGTAGTTGGAACGATGCTGTCTAGCCAGAAAAGTGAAGGAAGTAACCTCTGTCAAGTTTCTCCCGTTGATGGTGGGTGATTGGTTCTGGTTGTCGTTGTTGCTGCTGTTGGTTGGTGTTTGGCTATCTTCATCTCCTCAACTTTTGATGTGCATCGGTGGCACAGTGGTTAGGACTCTCGCCCACCACGCACATGGTCCGAGCTTCGATCACCTGCCGACACACACCTGATATCTATGGTCGGCCTGTAAAATTTGGGCTACCGATATCCATGCTGAAAATTCCATACTTGTACCAAAATTACAGTGTGGAATCAAGCTGTAATAAAAAATAAATAATAAAAATAAATAAATGTTCACCTGGAGTCCCGTCTTCGCTATCTGCCACGCCTTTTCAGCCAGTTTGTTGGTATTTCCCTATAGGTCTCGTAGTTTGTATGTGTGACATTAAACACAAATCATTCACGCGTGAAATCCAGATCTTCTAGAGTCTTCTTATTGGTGGTCCGGCGTATTCCTGTCTCCCTACTCCCCACATTCTGACATCTAATTCAGTCCACCACAATTGAGAATTTCATCGTGGGTGATAGTAAGCAGACAGTCAGCTTGTCTTACTCTTGTATTCACTTCGAAGACTTCACAGGGTTTTCCGCTGTGGATCACGTGACACGTGGCAAGCATTGCCATATAGCCAGCTGTTGGTTAAGGTTGACAGAAACTACTTTTCTCAAGCAAAGATTCTGTTTTATTTCATAGGTTCCAATTAAAACATAATATTACGCAATAAAATGTTTAATAAGCTCCGTTTCAACGAGAAATCTCAAATATGAGTATGTAACTTCAAATCGTACATGTGACAAAAGAATTGGGGGTTGTGACTGGACATTTTGGTGGATATCCCTTCTACATTTGTATTTATGTGTGTTTAGTTTGACTTTTAATGCATACAACATCATTCATCTGGAGTAAGTCCATCGAGTTCCAGGGTCCAACATGGGATGAAGTGCGCGTCATGGATTTTAGTGATAGGCACCTCTAAATAGATACACTTTAAATTCACTTTCTTTACGAAGTGGTTTCAGTTACAGAATCATAGTTAAGGTAGAATTAAACACCTAAAGCTGTTCATGGATGTGTATATTAGCAATAGTATAGAGGGAATATAAGGATCCACAGTCACACTAAGAATGCTTGAACCACACTGTTATCCCTTGAATATCTAGGTGTCCGCAACGTCTCTTCATTAGCACAGATAAACAAAGTAGTCGTTGAAGGAGAAATGGTTAGGGGTCAAATAAATTAACAAATTTCTTCGATCTCCCACCACCCCCGAAGGCTGATGAATTATTTTTGAAATGACTTTTTACCAGAATGAAAGACAAATATTTACTATATAAAGTTGAATAGAAAAAAACTATTAGTCAATATTAATTCTCCCTGGAAGTCAGTATATTCACCTAATACCGAGCTTTTTGCAAAATTTCACTAACATCTGCTTTCACTCAATATTAAAGATGAGATGGCTGACCAGAAATGGTAAGCAACAAAAAACTCTAGAGATGGATCAATCAAGAACCTACTACCCAACAAACATGTAGAAGCAAAGTGGGGATCAAGTGAAGACATATTGAGTATACAGTTGATTCAGTGTCTAAGGATGATATGAAGGAGATTATGTGAGAAGAAAGTGAAAGTCTAGGAGCAATCGTGAAGCCACCATCAGGGACTGTAGAGAACCAAGTGAAAAGGAGATCTGCTGTTGAAGCTCTATTTTCCGCTAGAGCCTAAAAGAATAATCATAAATCATTGCACAAGTATCATGTATTTGCACTCGGAACTTTCAAAAACAATCGAAATATCACCTCACCGTCGTGAAGTAGCCATAAAGATAGCGCCTACACTGGAATTAAACACTGTATCGAATGAAATTTAGTCGAAAACTGTAAAGCATCTCTGGAAACATTCAAAATTGACATCTAGGGTTAGAACCCACTGTCAGCCAAGATATGACAAATGATATCATGGTTGGAGAATTCCATCATGAGCTGACATCACTTAGAGAACCATAGGAAAACCAGCTCAGAGTACTGAACAGCCAACTGTTTCGTCAGCCTGGTTTGCAGTACGCACCCACCACCGGGATTCGAACCCAGGACCGTCTGGTTACAAGAATAGCGAGCTCGTAGACCATTAAGCCACTGGGTCTCACCCGATCCAGTGGCCAGTCTATGAATTCCAACTTCTGCCTATTCGTGACAGAGCGTGACTGCTTCCCAATGTCTTCTTCTATGAGTTACTGCCTCACCTCTAACCTGCTGTACCCCACTGATAACGACTGCCCACTAGAACCCCAATGCAAAGTGGTTGCGCTATGTCATGAATTGGCAGGAGCTAGAATTCATGGACTGGCCACTGGATCGGGTGGGACCCAGTGGTTTAATGATCTATGAGCTCGCTAGCCTTGTAACCAGAAAGTCATGGGTTCGAACCCTGGCACTGGGGTGGGTGCATACTGATGGAGAGTCCCAAACCCAGCTGGTGAAATAGCTGTCCGTTCAGTACTCCCTGCAGGTTTTCCAATGGTTCTCTAACCGATTATGTCAGCTCATGATGAAACCTTCTAACCAGTCAAACACAATCCCTTCAAAACCAATAATTGAAAAGTGAATTTTGCTTCTATCTAGTTACAACAAGTGGATATGGGCTGTACAACTTCTTATGCCATTGAACCCGATATAGTCTTCAAGATGGTAGACTTCTAAAATCACTGTGTTTTTTAGTGATGTGATAAAATCTATTCAGGAAATTTGTAGTTTTTAATGAAGTTTACTGATATTCAAATAAAAATAATGAGGAAATTCTTTCTATTCACGCAGGTTTACAACCCTTACTTTATTCTAAAATCAATACTCAACAGAACGGGACGAAGTGGATACGTATTGGAAGGAATATTAAGTAGGTCATTTGTTTCTGTTGACTGAATAAATATATATATATATCAATGAGGGATACATTTTGGTCGATAAAATCCTATCGGGTGTCAGTGGCACAGCAACAGAATGCTGGGAAACTACGCCTCATGTGGTTCGAGGTTTGATCCTCTGCCGACACATATTCCTTTACCTCACTAAGCCAGTAGTAAGACTGGTAAAGACGGAAGGTTGAGCATGAGGCTGGCTAGCAAGCAACCCCATCTCGTTAAATTAACAACACTGCTACTAAAAATCCTACCCAACCCAACGACAGAAGACAAGAGCCAGGAAACAGATCGTTCGTTTACGAAATCAACACATATTTATGGACTACATACTATAGATCATTGTTAGCCGAAAAGCACAGTCTTCTGATAGGTTGTTTCTTACTGAAAGTTAACCTTGCATCTCTATGGGACTGTTTCTTGAATGTCAGATCATCTATATGTTAACTGTATCCGCCTACGCAAAGCCTTTCTTCTCATTTTTTTCACTACCAATATTAGGGACATAAACATTGACGTAAATTTCTGTTTACCAATTTTGACAAACAGCAAGCTCTCACCGCAGTTTCACATTCAGGTTTCACTCTACAACCTGGAGCATGTTCAGTGATCAACGGTCTCCTCATTATTTGTCCGATCCGCCTCAATTTTGCTTCGACGTGTTTGTTGAGCGATTGATTTTTGGTTGATTTATTGCCCAACAGAAATCCATATCGTTTAGCCTTTCCAACGGGGCTTCAGATCTTCAGTATGAAGCGAGGGCATCTATTGATGAAAGTCTTCAGCAGACTGTTTGAAATGCTTTTTGTGGCGCACTAAGTCTTTGAACTGTATAGAGGGATTGAAGGAACTCCTATTGGTGTTGAAAATTTCGGTCACACGATTTAAACACTAGTGTTCTGCTATCAAATCTCACTAGAAGGGCGAAAATACTTACTGCGGTGCAGCCATGTGTATGTTATCAGTTTCATATATACAACACAAGATGCAGTATAAAATCCAGGTCTAGTCAGAAAACAAATAAAGTCAGGAAGCAAAGTGGTTAGTAAAGAACATTCTCTTCTTAACTCCATTACACAGCTAAATACTACTGTGTATACTGTTTTAAAAACCGTAACTAGTTTACTAGGCGGTCCTAGGCCTGGGTAAAGAGGTCCTTTAACCTACAGAGCTTGTCCTATCTGAGTGAGTTTGTAGGTTTAAATGCCACCCTAATTCCTACTTTATTCACAATCCTACGTAGGGAGTGTCTCAGATGTCCCCTCTTTATGTGGTATAACTGTAGATGACTTATATTCTCTCTTATTTATGTTATTATTACTAGTTTCACAATTATTTTTGTTTTTCGTTTGGCCTTTTTCGATCTTCCTAATGAATTTTAAAGGATACTTATTTAACGCCAACGCCTCATCTATCTGTTTTATTTCATCATTTAGGTCTTTTTTGTGCTACTTAGTGCCATTGCTCGGTTTGTTGAACACTTAACTAAACCTGCCTTAATAGTTAACGGATGAGATGAATTAACAGAATGCGTTGGCTTTTTGTAAACGCTGGTGCATAGTTCGCCTTCTTCTATTCGTTTTATTTTACAATCTAACATCACAGCTAATTCTCCTTGTTCATTTTCCGCTTCAAATGTGAATTTTATTCCCTCCACTAGTGAGTTTATGTATGTCAAGAAGCTATCGCTGGGTAAAGAGGGAGGGTTTGGGGTGGGACTAGAGAACCTACTCCACAAAAACCAACCAAATTACTAAAGGAGCTTCAACACAGAAGAAAAATATTAAAAATACAAAAAGTATAAAACAAAAGACAATTGCAGTGAAGAAAATTTTCTTTTTGACAAACTTACCGTCAACTAGGCTGTATGTACATTCGTGTACTTATAATAAATCGATGGGAAAGTTACAGAATAATTTCTGGTCAGGGGTCAAATTATTAATATTGCAATTAGGAATTAAAAAACCCATAATAAAACATAGGGAACGGTAAAACTCAAACAAAGTAGCATGATAATTATTGAGAAGATTGACATATTGGGCAGTTAGAGGTTAGAAAATGTAGAAATAACAAAACAGACAGGATGTTTGGATAAAAAATCTGATGGGATCATAACTAGTGTGATGAATAATTGTTTATGCAGTTTGGGTTTAAATATGTGGAAATAAAAAAATGACAAAATATAGAGGAAGTTGCCATTTGAAAATATGGTAGTGTAAATAGGGATTAATAAAAATGCTTAAAAGTAACATGAATAAACAGGAAGTTTAGATAAGAAAGGCGATGGGATGGTCATTACTAAAAGAATTACCTGTTTATGATGGCCATGGTAGGGACCAAGGGTTGGTCATATTTCTTCTGGATACATAGAGTGTGTTCGAGCTTTTGGATAGCTAGTGCCTCGACTATGGCCAGATGTCTTGATTTTACTCCCTTTGATAGGTTTGATCGAATCTTGTATATTATTTTGAAGGGTTTTTCGAGTCGCGCTGTTGTTCTGTCACTGAACTACATGCACATGTTTTTGTTCTTCTTTGTACTGGCCAGGCTGTATAGTGTTCAAGAGCGCGTTTTCCAAGTTGGTACATGGTACAACTGATATACTCAGCTCCTCATGAGCAAGTTATCTGTTATATGCACGTTGAAGTGACCAAATGCGACAACTTGTCTTTGGCTTTCTGGCTGAAAAGTTTCTTGCAGGAAAACGTCAGTCGTAGGCTTGCAGTGATGATGACTTCGTCGAAAAGAAAGTTTTCTTCGCTACAAATGTCTTTTTATTATTCTCTATGATGAAATGTGCCATTTTCTCGGATTTGAAAAATATAAAAAAACAAACTTATTCTTCGCTGGAATAGAAGAGGAGAATTGACGCGGGCTGGTGAAAGTCAGGCTTAGTGAAGTCAGTCAACCAGCTTATGTGTCTTCTCTTGATGAAAGCAAGTGTAAGAATTCGAAGTGGTGACTGGGTCATCAGCGCCAGGGTGACATGGAGGAGATCTGGAGAGTCGGAGGAGTAGATGAGAGATTGTTGTTAGCAGTCGTGAACCCAGCCACCTAAAGAGGACAGTAGCAAATAGATGATAGTGGAGATGTGTTGTTGAAGCCATGTATTCCACTGGGAACCCAAGAGAGTAATAATAATAATGAAGGAAATAAAAGACAGATTCAGCGAAGAAAATTTTCTTTATCGACGAATTCATCTTAAGAGGCTGTACAGTCGTATTTTTACTTACAAAAAAATACATAGGAGTCTATTATTGAGTAATAGGGTTTGGGTGACATAACTGATATAATTAATCATCAGTGGCTTTAGAAGTGAAAATTAAAAGTTGCAAATTCCGTGGTACTCAACGGCACAAAGATAGAAGTTTGATAAGGTTAGAATTGCTACTGAGTGAGAATAAAGGAGGTAGTTGAGTGTCAATTTAACAAGTGTGAAGAGGGTGTGAAATGTACAGAAGGAGCAAATGAGAGTGATAATAGTGAATTAATTATTAAAGCAAAAGCGAACTAAAATTAAAATTAAAAAACAAAAGAAAATATCAAATTTTTTTACAGGGAACGACTAGTGAAGAGGTTAAGACGCATCTCTGAACATTATCTGGCATGGTTAGTAAAGGGACAGTGTAAGACAATTACTAGCTCAATTCTCGAGCATTTGGTGAACTCAGACCACGTAGCTCCTTCAGAGTCGTCTTTCAAGATCATCTACAAAGTGAAGCCAAATGGTACAAAAAGGGCGTCAGGTTTCGGTTTTTGTGTATGGCGGAGGCGCTGGCGCTTTGTCAATACAACCGTGAACTCTGTATACAGAGGAGATTTTTCCAGTTTCTTCTTCTGCCTTCGTCTTAACCTCTTCACTAGTCGTTCCCTGTAAAAAAATTTGATATTTTCTTTTGTTTTTTAATTTTAATTTTAGTTCGCTTTTGCTTTAATAATTAATTCACTATTATCACTCTCATTTGCTCCTTCTGTACATTTCACACCCTCTTCACACTTGTTAAATTGACACTCAACTACCTCCTTTATTCTCACTCAGTAGCAATTCTAACCTTATCAAACTTCTATCTTTGTGCCGTTGAGTACCACGGAATTTGCAACTTTTAATTTTCACTTCTAAAGCCACTGATGATTAATTATATCAGTTATGTCACCCAAACCCTATTACTCAATAATAGACTCCTATGTATTTTTTTGTAAGTAAAAATACGACTGTACAGCCTCTTAAGATGAATTCGTTGATAAAGAAAATTTTCTTCGCTGAATCTGTCTTTTATTTTCTTCATGACTCAATAATAATAATAATAGTGTTTTAAAAGGCAATAGAAATATCAACTGATATACATAAGACCATCTTCCAACACTGCGGTCAAATAGGGAGATTAGACAAAAAATTTGCTCATTTTTTGAGTACTCTTTGAATCACATGATAGAAAGACAAACAATACATGATTTCTACGATGAAAGCCTTCGATATCCTACTTCTAAGCCTATATCTAAATTCAAACATAAGTGGAAATCGATCTGGGTCGAAATGAGAGCATAGATTGTGAATAATACTCATGTTGTCCTTGTTCTTGATGGTTGTTTTAACTTATCAATACATGCATGAGAAAACTTAACGATTGGAACGTTCAACCCGACCCCGAAAGTTGTAGTTTGTGGTATGTAGTAGATGAAATATTCACTGTACCTACAACACAGGACATAAACAGATTTTTTCGAACACATTAACTCGAAGGTAAAGGTAATTTATTTCACTTGGGTACTGGAAAGTCAGAAGGGGGAACTTCCACTGTTAGATTGTAGTGTAAAAAGGGACGAAGGTGAGAAGGTAAACACTAGTGTTTGTAGAAAACCTACACATTCAAACAGATGTTTGAATTTCCGATCATCACATTCTATATCAGTAAAAATAGGACTGCTGAAATGTTTAAGTGACAATGTAACAACAGAAGACAAGGACAGGCAACAGATCGTTTTATTACAGAAATCAACACGTATATATATTTCCTGTACATTATTATAGCTTATTCAAGTGAAAAAACGCAGTCTTCTGATTGGTTGTTTCGGGTAACCTTGGAAAATGGAGGCATTTATCTGCGAATCATATACGCCCACGTTAAGTCTGCTGTGATTGGTTGTTGAATCAGCCTTGTTCATATTTTCTCACGGCCAATACTAGTGACCTGGACATTGACGTAGATTGATGTCTACCAAATGGCTGACAGCCTGCTCTCACCACAACAATCGGCACAAAAGCTAAATAGTACCAAAGAAAATTAAAGACAGGAAGTGAGGCAGGCATGCTAGGGAAGCCTTGAAGCTGAACAATTATCCTGATAAATTAATCAGAAAGTATGTAGGGAAATGTAAAAGTAAAATGAATAATAATATTAGTGATGGTGATAATATTAATATTAATGATAATGACATGCATGTCAAACATACACAAGATAATGAAAACACCAACAATAGCGAATCTAAATCATCAGTAGTACTTCCATACAAAGAAAGAACCTCGGAAACCTTGTGGAAAATTCTTAAAAATGCAGAGATAAAAGTGGCTGGCATTCAAACCCACAAACGCAACTGGAAACAAGCTTTGTCGGTTTAAGTATTCTATGGAGCCAAGTAAACCCTGCAATGAATGTCAGGTTGAATACATAAGTCAAAATAGTAGAACAGGGTTAGTCAGACTAGTGAAGCATAAAAACCTAACAGTAAAATCTAGATTAGTTGACCCGAATACGATAAGAACTCCGGAAAATACTTCAGCTATACCACTCACTGCATGCAGTTACACAAAACCATACAGTTGGATGGGATGAGGTAAGATGACAGTCTTAAAATCTAATTTCACAGCAGGGTGGAGTAAGTAATTGATAACGGAAGCTTTATTCATGGAATCACCTGATAGAGAATACATGTGATAAGAATAATACAACACCTGTCCACCCAGATATCTCGAAAATTCTACTATCTCAACGACGACAAATAGGAAAGAATAAAGAGAACTATAAAACTCAAGTTTCAAAGTCGTGTGATGATAACGGATATGATTGTGAACAATGAATTGTATTCGAAACTTTGTCATCCAGTGAACAATAATACTGTTTCATCACTGTGTGATACATCTGATAAGCAAACTAATATGATATTTATAAAATTATATTTGTAAAATCTCAGCGAAACTGAAATGATTTATTCCAACGTTTCGTTCGGCAATTTGGTCCAAACTTCTTCAGGGAAATTAATCGAAATTAACTTAACAAAGGTTAGTATATAAAAAGGACATCTCTTGTTTTTAAAACTGTCCAATCATGAGCCATACAACAGGTATCAACTTCTTACTCAGTACCCAGCTATTTTGCAACTATCCGGCCAAATCTTAATCACAGTTCATATGAAACTATGATGACCTTAACTATTTGTTAAAAACGTATTATGAAACGCAAATCAATTGCCATACTTAACAGAATTGCGTAAACGAAAGAGACCATTATTCTGCTTTTTATTTGTCCAGATATTCACGTAATACAAAAAATCTATCGAATCATTTACTTGATACAAATGGAGAATATTATCAGTTGGAATGGGATATGGTGAGTTTTATTCCCTGTTATCCTTTTTTGACTTGACTCCAGCTCAATGGCTGGATAGTTGAGTAGTACGGATAGCTAATTATCGATAATTACCAGACAATTATTTCCCTTGATAAACCTTAAATAAATTGTGGATGGTGACTAGCAGTGGAATCCATGATAACGCGCATTTCGTCCCATTTGAGTCTTGTCCTCCAGCTGGATGTACCTGCATTCCACAGTCAGCGATGGTGTTCCCACCGAGACTCGGACCCAGTGCCCATAGTTTCAAACGCCAAAAAGCGTTATCTACTGCACCACTTGGGCCACAAGAGCCACCTCTTTTGCAACGTGCCATTTTTATTATTTAACTTAATTTTGGATTTTCCCGTTGATTGATTGGACCGAAGTGCTCGGTCTCAGGTTGACATGTCAGCTTCTTGTGAAGATGCTCCGATGATATCTGGGCATGTAATTAGAAGTTAATTCGTGGATGGCGACTAGCGGTGGGATTCAGGTGGGGTATTTTCGTCCAGGTAAAGTCATGGGTGTGCACTACTAAGGAGAACCAAAATGGGACGAAATAGCTGTCTGGCTTTTCCTGTGTTTCCAATGATACTGTCACCGATGGTAGTTCTTGACGTAACCTACCATAGAATTGGTCATGATCTGTCCAAAGCCCGAAATTCGAATGATGGGTGCTCCTTTTTTGACGATGACGAAATGTTGCCTTCAGATTTTGCTGTCAGCCATCTAACTAACTATCCACACTGTCAGTTGGGAGTACTCTGATGGCTGTATCACATGGAGTATTTTATAGTTGTTCATAAATGTTATACTAAACAGGAACGTGCTACACGAATACTTTCCGGCTTCTAAACGAATGCAGCCTTTCACTGCCTTCCTTTTCTGTTGTCTTCCAGGAATTTCCATACGCCGACGATATTTGTTACTTGGCCTACTCTTATCCATACACATATACTAATTTAAAATATGATTTAAATGAAGTACTCCTGAAGGCAAGAGAAGGTTCCGCATTGAATAAATCAATTAAATGTGAAGTCGCCTGTCAAACTAGAGCAGGAAATTCATGTTTTTTAATCACAGTGACTGATCCGAGTAAGTTTATTTTGTAATTAGAAAGAAGAGAATACGAAGTTAAGCAAAGATATCTGCCTTTTCAACAATATCATTTTCAAAAGCTGTACAATCGCATTCAAATACATAATTTTACATTGACACAATTCTTGTTTGATTTCACTTATTTACGATGGTGAATAAAAGGTGATAATTATTTTCAACTAGATATAGCTTTTACGAGAAGCATAGAAACAAAATTACATAGGATTAGAACGGATATCAAGTATGTAAAAGTGAGCATGGAAACAAAATTGAAATAATAATTTTCAACTTGAGGTGGGAGTTGGGAGGTGTGAATGTCTGTCTGTTTTCGACACAGAACTTTGCACCGATGTGCGGCTGTTCAAGTTGCCACACTCCATGTAGCACACAAAGCAAGAGGAGAAAGTACAAGAAAAGCATAACGGAGACAGTAAGCAGAGGCGTGAGACAAAGGAAGAGTAATAACGAAGAACAAAACAGTTTCATTGGAAATCATAAATCACAAGGAGTGGATGCATCTGCGCCACTGAGAACGATTTTGAGCCATATCACCAATTGTTTTCAACCATTGGTTTTTACCGTCCCGAGGACCCCAACCTGGAAGTCTACACTTTCCTACGTTGCTTAGATTAACTGTTGTGGATTTCATTGACTGGTGAAGCCATGTTTTGGTTTGACCTCCGCTAGCTTTCTTCCCGCCTGACCCTATATCCACTAACACTGCTCGTCGAGGAAGGCGATGACTAGGCATACGTAACACATATCCTAACGATTTCGGTCTTTGTAACTTCACAACTTCGTCGATTGATTTCCCCTGTTTACCTAGCACTCGACCGATGCCTAACCTCAATATTGCTCACCTTATTATACCACTTCACACGGGAGATAGAACGCATGCACCTATGATCAAAGACAGCTAATCTTTTCATGTCTTCCACTCTCAGTGGCCAGGTCTCACAGTCATAAAGGAGGACGGAGTGGGAGGTGTGAATATAGACTCCAAGAGCCTCAGAAACACAAAAATTGCACAGGATGAATATATGATTGTAAAATAGTTACTTTAAACTAATCATAAATGTGAACAGGAAAAGCACGGAAACAAACGTGAAGTAACTGTTTTTATAACTGAAAAAATGGTGTGAATCGAATCAAGACTGAGGGAGTAAAGATCAGACACACAGCGAACGAAAAGACACTCAAAAAGAAAAAGAGGAGCTCCTTTTCGTCAAAAATATCCTGGCTCAAAATAGCTGCCTGACACGTTTTGTCGAAAAGAACGTGAAACCTGAACCAAAAAGAGGAGAATGCGATTCAGCGCCAAAGAAGACGCTGTATCTGAATCTGAATTTCAGGGAGATTTGGCAGCCGACATCCTGAAGAGGAGAATATCTAGCTCTTTAAAGAAGACCTGCCCTGCAGCAACACTAAGAGTGACATTCTCTAGCCGTCCAATACTTCGAAACGATGCGAAGGACAAACTCTCACATATGACCAATTCAATGTGCATATACCAGTTCACCTGCTTGTGCGGAGCTAAGTACATAGGTCGTGTTGGAGAACATTACCTAGCGTGGCTACAAAGAGGCGGCACCGGTTCAATCAGAAGTGTCATTATTGAGCATATGATCAACATCTCAACTGATTCTTTCAATCATTTACAAAGTAAACAGAAACCTACCAAAGGCAGTATGTTTCCGACTTTTTGTACTGCAGAAGCCCTCGCAGTATGCATCGAGAAGCTGGAGCTGTGTGTTCAAAAGAAATTAGTCCAAACTCTACAACTACCAAGGACCTAGTTTGGTATGTTCCCTTAGCTTCCGCTTTTTTCTTCTTTTTTCGTTCTCTCTTTTCTTTTTGAGCATTTTTTGTTCGCTATGTGTCTAACTCTTACTCCCTCAGTCTTCATTCGATTCACACCATTTTTTCAGTTATAAAAACAGTTACTTCACGTTTGTTTCCGTGCTTTTCCTGTTCACATTTATGATTAGTTTAAAGTAACTATTTTACAATCATATATTCATCCTGTGCAATTTTTGTGTTTCTAAGGCTCTTGTAATCTATATTTACACCTCCTAACTCCCACCTCAAGTTGAAAATTATTATTTCAATTTTGTTTCCATGCTCACTTTTACATACTTGATATCCGTTCTAATCCTATGTAATTTTGTTTCTATGTTTCTCGTAAAAACTATATCTAGTTGAAAATAATTATCACCTTTTATTCACCATCGTAAATAAGTGAAATCAAACAAGAATTGTGTCAATGTAAAATTATGTATTTAAAAGCGATTGTACAGCTTTTGAAAATGATATTGTTGAAAAGGCAGATATTTTTGCTGAACTTCATGTTCTGTTCTTTCTAAAATCCACATGGGTATTTTGTAATTCTTGCTGATTGCTTGATATTGAATGAAACTATATGGCTTCTACTCAGAACACTTTTTGACGATGCCTTACATGCTCAGGATGATGTTGTTTGACTGAAAGTGGCTAGTGAATACTGATTTGGCATTAAGAACGAATGGTTGGTGGGTTCAACTTTCCAGTGGGAATATCTTCACTCACTGATGATGCAAATACATCCATCTGGTGAACCCTGGGTAGGAGGTAACGCGTATTCAAGATACCCGGAACACTTGTGGATAAAATCTGTTTTGATAATTTTTCACAGTGTTATACAGTAATATTTACTATTGATGACCACGTTTCGAGCACAATTTATTGGGGCTCTTAATTATATCAAGGTACTTACTCACACAACTTTCCATTTTCATTTATATGCTCCCACTACTTCGCATCTCTGAATTTGATCATTAGTAATTTTCCATATTTCTGGTATGAGTGATGAGTCATTCATAGTGCAAGTGTTGGGTGTTGATTCCGTGAACGAAGATTCAGTAATCAACCTCTATCTCCACCTACCCAAATTTCATTTTAGAGTCTTAACCCTCTTGCATGCAGCCGTGCAACCACGCGGTCAGTCATTCTAACCTTAGTTAAATTATTATGTTCTGACAGTCTGACTACTTCCGATCTACTGTTTTGACTGACCTATGTGGTTGACTTAACTCACAGTCATTACAGTGCGTTAGTGTAGCACGGCGGTAGAATGCTCGCCAATCACGCCACGTGTGGTACGGGGTTCGATCCTCGGCCACAAACGCACTCCTTTACCTCCCTAAGCCAATAATAAGACTGGTAAATAGGGAAGGCTGGGCATGAGACTGGCTAGCAAACACATCCCGTAAAAAATAAACACCAATCCTATCGAAACTACAAGTCTCTAGATTGAAAAAGGAAAAAACAGTCAAATCAAGGTATTTTGTAAATTGTATTATTTTGTCTAATTGGGTTAACCTACAGGATCCTTTAACTTACATAGCTTGTCCTAACTGAGTGAGTTTGTAGGTTTCAATGCCACTCTAGTCCCTGTCTTATTAAGAATCCTATATAGGGCTCTAGATGTCCCCTCCTTATATAGTAGAACTGTAAAGGTCTTATATTCTTTCTTATTTATGCTGTCATTTTCGTGAGTTGGTTGGTCTGTAAGGATTAGATTTGTTTTTGTTAAGGCTTTAGCTGCAAGCCCTATGTTATTTCCAGAAAGCAAAGGAATGAAACATAATGAGGATGACTGAAGACAGTCTGTTATAATCAAGATCGTCAGGAAAGAACTTTATTTCTACCGATGATCAGTTACCCAAGTTCATATTATTTTCAAGTTGACTCTGGAAATACCGTTTAGAAAGGCAATGAAAGCTTCTAATTTAAACTAGCCATCTCAGAGAACGCAAAGATGCCTAACACATAAGTAAACTTTATAAACGACTCTTAAATTAACTCTCCTCAGTTGTCTTCTATGAGCGATGGATTTCATAGAGAACAACAGTTCCTGACATGTATCTGTGTCGTTTGCTAACGCCACCAGTAGCTAGTGAGCTTTAATGGGCAGCCTTGTTGGCTAGTTGAATTTTCGGTTCATTACAACCGGTATGTCTCACGCCTGCTTCTCTAGTAGAACTCATATAGAAAATGGAAAGTTAGGCGTCTTAAGGTAACATGGAGGAGAGCATCCAGTGACAAGGAGATGACAGCCTTTGGGCGATCTCTAAACCAGCCAAACAGGACCTTGGGAGGTACGTTCCATTCGGAACCCTATTATTATTATTGTTCCCTTGGGTTCCTAGTGGAACATAGGGGTTCAACTGCACGTCTCCACTTGCCACTTCTGTCTTCTGCTGTACTTTTCACCTGCATCCATGTTAGTCCATACATGCCATTTCAACTCCTCTTCACACGATCTCCTCCATGTCGCCCTTGAACTGACGTCCCACCCGCCGCCGCTTCCCTTTCGGCCTGGTTCCACTTGAGCAATGGCCTGATGCGCGAGCAATGTCACCCAGGGGTGGCCTCCCCAGCGAGTGTCCAATCCATCCATCTCCACTTTCTCCTGCATATTAGCTGGTTGGTGATTGATTGGTTCTTGTTTTGTTTGTTCCTTCTCATAGTTTCTTGTTGGTGATTCTTTCCGGACCGGCCGGCCATCTGATCTTCAGTATGGAGCGATAGTTGACAGTTGTTGGTTGATGAAGGTCTGCAACAGGCTGTTGGAAATATTCTTTGTGACCTGCTCGCCCACCAAGTTTCTGATCCGTATAGAAGAACTGACTGACTTGAAGTTGTTTGTATTAAAAAACTGACTGAATTTTGTTGTTGATGCTGAGTGACGAATATTTCAAGGTTAGATTTGTTTCAGGTTGATGAATGTGTTTCTCGCTCACCTTCCCGATTCTCGCTCGATTTGACATCCTCGTCAGTTCCTCCTCCTGTAGTTGAGACAACGCCCAAAGCTAGATAGGTGAATGCAGTAACCTGTTTGAAATCCTTCCCGTTGATGGATGTTGCTTCTCTTGTTGTTGTCGGCTGGTTGGTCGGTTATTTTCATAACCTCCGTCTTGTCTATGTTTTCTTGGAGTCCTGTCTTCGTCGGCTGCTTCTTCGACCAGTTTGTCGGCTTTCGCTTGAAATTCTCCGAAGGCGAAAGCCTTCGGAACCCTAAAGAATAGTAATCGTAACTAGCGTGAGGCTAACAATCCTACACCTTAAAAGCAGAAACACAACCCTCTCTAATCAACCTTCAAATTTTGAAGCTTCACCACATTCAGACTGAAAAGCGTAATTACATTTTAGCCTAAAAAGACTCATAAACATTGTTTATCTTTTTTCTAAATTTCACTTCTTATTGAATAAGATATTCCCAATAAACAAAAGTATGCAGTTGTCATCACTGCACGTGTTCATCCTGGTGAAACAAATTCAAGTTGGATGGTCCTTGGATTTCTCCGGTTTCTTATGGTAAATGAAGAAATATCAATGGAATTGAAGAAACTCTACATCTTCTACATTGTACCAATGCTAAATCCTGATGGTGTTATCGTTGGAAACTACAGGTAAGTAGTGTATGAGACAAACGTATTTAAGTGTTAGTTTGTGGGGATTCGATTGATTGGTTACAGGATTTCATCATGAGCTGATTTCAGTTAGAGAACCATTGGAAAACCTTCAGGGAGTACTGGACAGCCAGCTGTTTCGCCAGCCTAGTTTTGGACCCTTCAGCAGTACGCACCCACCCCATCGGGGTTCAAAAACTTGACGTTCTGGTTACAAGACCAGTGAGCCTGTAGACCATTAGGCCACAGTAGGTTTCAGTAGGTCTGGTGTGAGGACGAATACTCGTCAGCGATGACATTGTCTAATGCCATTCGCTTTATATCGTGAATTGTCGGAAATTGGAATTCATGGATTGACTACTGGATCGGGTTCCACTGGCATAGTGGTCTGCGAGCTCGCTAACCTTGTAAAAAGGAGGTCCTGACTTCGAACACCGGTAGCGGGGTGGGTGCGTACTGGTGAAGAGTCCCAAATTGGGCTGGCGAAACAGTTGGCTGCTAGTTTTCCAATGGTTCTCTAACCGATGTCAGCTCATGTTTAACATTAAATTTAACTTCACCGGAAGAGTCATGGACAAATGAGACTGAGATTTAAAATATATACACATATTTACTTGATATATATATTCAAGAAGGATCAAGTTGGGTCAAGTGTTCGCTACTCTGTTGGGTTTTTATATCTGCAGAGATGCATTTCGATAAAAATACGATATAGTCATTCGACTAAGTAGGTATTTAGGGATTATTATTATTCCCATGGTTTTCCAGTGGATCATAAGGATTCAGCAGCCCATGTTCACGTGCTTTTCCTATCTGTAACCGTTTATAGATGGCTCGATGATTATGCATACACTCACCGTTCTGCCAGATATGATCTCCTGTAGGTCACCTTTGAAATCCCGACCAACTCATCTTTCCCCAGTTGGGCTCTACTCGATGGTTTGACTGGTGTGTGTGATATCACTCCTGAGAACATCTGTATTTTTTTCAACATATTTCTTGGCCGAAAAGACCCTTGGTTGTTTTTCTGTCTTATAAAGTCCCTTACAAAGTCGCTTGTCATTCCTAGCCGACTATCTGGTGGAGTGAGCCAGAGAAGGCAGATGTTGATGAATGTTGTCAACCTGTTGGAAGTGCTTTTTATAACACCTACCCCAATTATTTTGAACCATATAAAAGCACTAACTTGACAGTAGTGTGGAAAATTTGGACCTTATTCCTCATGCATACTGACTTCAGATTAATGAAGGTCTGTCTTGCCTTTTTGATGCTGGCTTTGAACTCCTCATTTGTACCGCAATCTGTAACTGAAACGATGCTGCCCAAGTAAATGAAAGGGATGAACTTCATTGAATTTCTTATGCTGATAGTGATTAGCGCATGTTGCTGCAGGTAGGCGGTTGTCTTCACCATCACTTTATTCTCTATGTTCACTAAAAGTCCTCTGTTCGCTACCAGTCTCTTCAGCCAGTTATTTAGTTTTCACCTGCAAGTCTTCATGTCTGTATGACATTAGATTTAGATATTCCATGAAGTCCAAATCTTATAGAGTCTTTTTGGTTATCTAACACATAAGCCGTCTTCTCGCTTCCTACCGTCTGTTGCATGATCCAGTCCACTACAGTTGGCAGTATCATTGCTGATGCTGAGCACAGTCAACCTAGTAGATAGGAGTCAAGTAGATTATTGCGGCATAAAAATCTAACTGGCTAGACTTAGAATAATTAACCCTACCTAACAAGTTCAATAAACCAGAAAAGTTCTCAGGAATTGCACTGTATTCACTCGAATGTAATCATCATACTGTAGGCTGGGACAAGGTAACAGTATTAAAAAATTAATATAGAGTAAGGTGAGGACAGAGAGAGAGAGAGAAGTTATTCACTGACTGAAGCTCTGTTTATCGATTCAACACCGCTTATATGCAGTCAGAGTGGTGCAACGCGTCGCCTATACTGGAGATACAGAAACTGGTAGCAAAGAACAAAGGGAAGCTGGAGAGGCAAATTGTGAAACCGTGTGACTACTACTAATAATAATAATAGCTTCATTCCATAAACAGTACTAGTGATACAGTGTGGAATTTTCAGCACATATCTACAATATTGCATCTAATTTCATCGAACATTTAAAGGAGTATTTCGAAAAAAATATATAAAACAACAAAAACAAAAAGAAACAAACACAAAAACAACAAAAAATGCAAATAAAAATACCAAGTAGAAAAGAAAATACACAACAATAACAAATAATATCTCAGTATTGGGTAGTGGAAGCTATGATATGTGTATGTATGGTGAACAGTGACAGCTATAATCATGCAAGAAATTATGAGATGTTCTTAAGAATGTTTATAGCCAAGATGATCAGTTAATTTGATTGAACAACACTAAACAATCATAAAATAAACATTTCAGGTTGTGTTTTTTATTGTCAGCACGAATGCAGTGTTTGTTGCGGTAGTGTGAGTAATCATGCGTAATACAAAAGTTTTAGGCTGATGATAGCGGCGTTCACAACCAAGATTGTCAGTTTTAATATTGCCGAACAAAAAAAAAACAACCACAAAACTAATATTACATGATGGTTAATGACAGCAGAATTTTGTAATACTCATAGTGATAATATAGTCGGGACCAGTAGATACACAAAAGAAGGAATAGAATAAAGAATAAAAAAGTAAGTCAAGGATAATAAATTGATAGGACTATGAGCAGTAATAATTTATGCTCGAAACCACCTTGTCATCTAGTTGTTAATACTGCATCTGCTTCATTGTATGTGATAATTAAAATAAAAATATCTAATATGGAATTACAACCAGGTTATGGTTATGCCAAAACAAGGATATGTAGATTGATCATATTCTACAGTCTTTTACATGTTCCACAACACAGATATGATTACCAGTGTGAGATAATGTACATTCAGAAATAATAATAAGTGTTACTGATCAATTACAATCAGATGGGAAATAAGACGAGTGTTTTTATAGTCATCATGATAAGTAACTTGTTAGAATGTTATGATGAACATGAATTGAAATAGTATTTTAAGATTATTATCCTCCTCTGATTTGACTGACTGGTGGTAATAGTATCTTCCATACATATCTCTGGTATTTGCATAGAGTCATTTCTGTTGCATGTGTTGGGTGTGTCGACTCGATGAATAAGGATTCCATAATCAATCTCTCTCTCCACCTACCTATAATACTTTTTAGAATTTTAACTCTATCCAACCCTATTGAGTGATTGTTTGTTAATGTATGCAGAGCAATATAGCGCTGAGCTTTTTTCTAAATTACTTATCTTCTCGGGTTCAACCATTCTTCCCTTAGCAAAATTCTTATGTTCTGGCAATCTGACTATCCCTGACCTACTAGTTTGACCTACGTAGATGACCTCACTGATAGTCATTGCAGAGTATTTTGTAAATTGTATTATTTTGTTTATTTGGGTCCACCGGGTCATTTAGCCTACAGAGCTTGTCTCTGAGTGAGTTTGTAGGTTTGAATGCCACTCCGATTCCCGCTTTATTGAGAATCCTAAATATGGTTTCAGATGTCCCTTCATTGCATGGTAAAACTGTAGATGCCTTATATTCCTTGTTATTTATGTCATCATTACTACTTTCACAATTATTTTTATTTTGCTTTTGACCTCTTTTGATATTCCTAGTGAATCGTTTATAGGATAGTTAGTTATGTAACACCAACCAGCTATTCTCCTTCTATCTGTTTCATTTCATCGTTTAGGTATCTTTTTGTACTACTTAGAGGTTTTATTGCTAGGTTTGTTAGATGGCACACCAGTAAATATTACTGCATAACATACAGTGTGTGATTTATCAGAATAAGATCTTACTCATAATGGAGTTATACTGTACCACCACAGTGTGCAAGTTTTATAGTTAGTTACTTAGTTTTTCCTTCACGTTCCCAGTGGAACATAGGGCTTCAAGCCAGTGGTTTGAAGTTTCTGTAGCAGTGTTTATTTTTAAAGGATGGGGTTGCTAGCCTCATGCCCAACCTTTCCCCTTTACCAGCATTATTTCTGGCTTAGCGAGGCAAAGGAGTGCGTCGGCCGGGGATCGAGCCTCGGACCATGTGCATGGTCGGCGAACGTCCTAACCACTGTGCCACCGACGCACAGCCACGACGCCCAAGTTTTATACTTATGTCAATTATTACCAGACCTCAACATTTGCCATATTTCTTAACATAAAGGTAGCAGTTGACTTTGTCGTATTAGCATTTGTTGCTTATTTTATATTCTGTTTGAAATCATCCAAAGGAAAACATTAAAGATGTTTATTGCCTTCTTACCCCTGTCGCATTATTTTATATTTTTCTCCCGCTCTCTCTCTGTTTATCTGAGTCTGTTTTCTTTCCTTTTTCATCAAAGATGCTCATTGACAGGGCGGGATTTAAATCGTAATTATCGTCAACCAAGAAAAGATATCTTTCCAACAGTATGGACAGTCAAACAACTTGTAAAATGGTGTAAAAGAACATATAAGGCAAGTTTTATGGTTTTATGAATGAGAGCAGGCAACAGATTATGTAACTATAGTAATCAGGAATATCTGTAACGGTGGAAGACGAAAGATTTAGTAAAGGAATGTTTATTTGCAATTTGATATCTCTATATAGCCAAATTATATACACCTTATCTTCAAAGCACCATTTCCATAGATCTTCCGCGTTGTGCTACCAATGCCCGTTCCTTTATCTTGTGTTTATTTGTATTCCTTTCACATCTCCCATGTATCTCCGCAACGCTGAACCTTTCGATTTCTCTGACTTCAAATATATCTTCCTGCTATTTGACGTTTTTATGCCGATGAACGTCTCTATATATAAAACTGGTAATTCTCATCAGTAGCACATGCCACACACACGTCGACTGTCTACCACAAAAGCTATACAACACCACGATTGAATTTTTTAGCTGGTTAATCGACAGAGAGTACACATTGAGATGTGATTAGGGAAATTTGTTCATACGAGACCGTCAGAGTGTACATTATTATTATTATTATTATGATAATATTATTATTCCCTTGGGTTCCGAGGGCAACAACATAGGACTTCAACAACATATCTCCACTTTCTTCTATTTTCCATTGTATTGCATGGAATATTGCAGCCTATCGTGTTGCCAAGTCTTCATCGTCCTATTTCATTTCCGCGAGGATGGTTTGTGTTTCATAATTTTCAGTCTAGTTGACAGGCAATACTCTTTGACGTCAGCTGCTTCCGACCACTCATTTCAATTAGTCAAGAACCAGTATAGAACATCTCCTTATTTTCCGTCCACTAACAGCAAACCTCGTATTCTGTACATTGTGTCTCATAAATACAAATCAAAAATTGAAAAATATTCTGGTGGTCATTAGTGTCTAACTGTAAAATGAAGTTAGTTGCCTGGAGTTTTCTGGCGACCAGTGGGGGTCACCGAGTTGGGTTTGAGGTGACAAATACTTGTTGATAACGTCGGCTGGCTATAGTGTTATATAATAATAATAATTTTATTTATTCCAAAACAGTACTTGTGATACAGAATGGAATTCTCAGCATTTACTGAAGCATTGCATCCAGTTAGTGCATTATCAATAAAGAAAATTCTACGTAGATTAAGGAAATCTCAGTTAGTTTTGACAACAACATATTGGCATGTCGGTAGCAAAGCCAAAATTGAAGTGAGTGTTTGAAGATGTTAGAAAAGTAGATGGTGGCATATTTACTGGCGTAGGCAGAAGAAAGAAACAAAGGAGCACGTAGCAGAGAAAGAAAAAGGAGAGAGAGAAAAGGAAAAGAAAGAAAGAAAACGATGTACCTATAAGTGATATGAGTTGGAGAGACGAGATCCAGTTGTTCTACTGACTATTTAATAAGCCATAAGTTTCACGCCTAATACTTTCTTTATCGCACAGAACACGAGCTAAGTAGGGTATGGTTGAGTTTTTGTACTTGCTAGTGGGAGCATATAGTTTCCTACATAGGCTTCTGGTTTTGCCTGATCAGATACAAGGGGAGATTTGTGAATGAAGAGGGTGGTGTGAGATAGATAAAATGGACTTAGCCCATTTTTCACATGGGTTCAAGCGCCTGTCGACCAGAATATTAACAAGCTGGTTAAGTGGCGCATTGCTTACCCTGCTGACAACCTTTAACACCCTACGTAATAAGATATAGTCCTTCTTTAGTAGCCCTAGAAGAACTAAGGGGGAACAATAGACAATAATAGACAGAATGCGAGAGTTAACGAATCGTAGGAGTAAGGGTTGGGTTATTCCAGAATGTCCTAACTTCTTGATGTAGAAGGTTAGTTGGAATATTTTCTTAGAAATCATCAAGATATGAGATGACCAGGAAAGATCAGCAGATAGAATGACGTCCAGATTTTTGATTTCCGACTTGGTCTGTATTTCACTGCTATCTATGTAGTAAATCTCGTGAGTGCTAACCAGTTTGTTTAGGTCAGATTTATGCCTAAAGGTGAAATTGACTGTTTGACATTTAGAGGGATTTAAGGTTAGAAGGTTTTCCTTAGACCATTGGCTGATTTCTGATAAAAAGCCATTTAGTTTAGAGCAGTCACTTTGACATTTGACAAGCAAAGATACAACCAGGTCGTCAGCATATCGTGTATACGCAGAAATTGGAATTTTCAAGTATTGGTTTAGTAAGGAATTTTGGTTTGATTGGTTAGAGGATATCATCATGAACTGGTATCATTTAGAGAGCCATTGGAAAACCTGTAGGAAGACCATAATAGCCAGTTGTTTCGTCAGCCTTGTTTAGGGCTCTTCATCAGTCCATCCTAGTGGCTGAAGGATCAATTACATCACCTTGCAACTGGTAAGTAGTGGGTTCGATCTCTACTGGAAGGATCATTGCCACATACAGTGAAGTCTTAGAGAAGGGCGAACCACTTGTGTTGTACTCCTATGCTTTCAATGATTCTGCAAATGACATCAGTCAGCGATCGAAACTTGCAATCAGTCGCATCAAAACAGTCGAGGTGATTCGATCAAGCATTTTAATTATTTCGAAAAATGGTGTCATCAGCTGCATAACCCCACTGTATTCAAATATTTCAACTTTCTTGGATAGATGTAAACCACTAAATAGCTAGTTGTTGTAATTGTCGTATAATAATAATAATGTCATCTTATTCTATAAACTAGGTAACTTATCTAACTGTTTCATATTCTATTTTCTGTCATCCAAACTAGGATGTCATTTATTGTGATATGCATGGACACAGTCGACGTAATAACATCTTCATGTATGGCTGTGATGCATCGAGTAGATATTCAAAAATATTTAATAATAATACTGGAAAAAGTCTTCATGAAAGACTACTGCCTTACATCATATCTCAAGAGGTGAGTTATTACTATGTCACTAGTATTTTGCATCGTTTCTAACTTATAATTTAACTGGTGAAAGGCGACTAACAGTAGAATCCAGGATAACGCGCATTTGGTCCTATTTGGGACTCGTCCTCCAGCTGGATGTACCTGCATTCCCCAGTGAGTCAGTGATGATGTTCCCACCGAGGCTCGAACCCATTGTCCATAGTTTCAAACACCAGCCAAAGCATTATGCACTAGACCATTTGGACCACGCGAGCCACCTCTTTCTTCTGCAATGGGTCATATTAATTACTTAATTAATTTTCCGGTCGACTGATCGCACCGAAGTGCTCAGACATCGTCGAAGCACTTGCATAAGAAGCCGACACATGTTGACCTGAGACTCAGCACTTCGGTCCAATCAATCGACGGGAAAACCAAAAACTCAATTAAATAATTTTCTAACTTATGTTTAAAGCTGTATGAGAAAAGGAGTGTTATTAATAGATAAAATAATAGTGATAGTGATAATTATATAATAACAATAACAATTTTCTATGATCGCTTTTTAAAGAATAGATTTGTTTTTACGAGTTGATCACGGATTGATATCCGTTAGAGACCCGTTGAAAACCAGCACTGGTGTACTGGAGAGATGTTTTATCCTAGTTTGGGAATCACTGGTAGTACGTACACACCACCAGGGTCCGAATCCAGGACCTTGCGCTTACATGGCTAGTGAGCTTGTATACCATTCCACCACTGTGATCCGATTTCTCAACGGCCAGCCCATGAGTTTTAACTTCCACCAATTCGTGATTTAGCGCAACCTGTATATAAACTCCTGTATTTCAGAAACATTCTGATCATATAGTAGAGTGAATGTTCGTTGTGGTTTCTTTCTGGTAGGTTGATTCGACTTTAGATATTTAGAGATTGTAGGTGTATCCAATTTTCTTAAAAGACAATTAATAAATATTTGGTTGGTTGGAGGATTTCATCATGAGCTGATATCGGTTAGAGAACCATTGGAAAATCTGCAGGGAGTATTGGACAGTCAGCTGTTTTGTCAGTCTAGTTTGCGACACTTATCAGTACCGACCCCATTATGCCACTGGGACCCGATCCAGTAGACAATCCATGAATTCCAATTTCTGACGATTCACGATATAGAGTGAATGGCACTAGCCAATTTCATTGCTGACGAGTATTTGTCCTCAAACCAGACCTGCTACATCCTACTGTGACTTAATGGTCTACGAGATCGCCTGCCTTGTAACCAGAAGGTCAAGGTTTCGAACCCCGATGGGGTGGGTACGTACTGATAAGAGTTCAAAAATAGGCTAACGAAACTGTTGGCTGTCCAATACTCCCTGCTAGTTTTCTAGTGGTTCTGTAAATGATGTCAGCTCATGATGAAATCCTTTAACCAATCAGTCAATCAATCGAATCCCTACAAAACCAACACTCAAATACATATATATATTACAAATATATAGTTTCTTCAATTCCATTGATATTTCTTCATTTCCCATAAGAAATCGTAGAAATCCGAGGACCATCCAACTTGAATTTGTTTCACCAGGATGAACACGTGCAGTGATGACAACTGCATACTTCTGTTTATTTGGAATATCTTGTTCAATAAGAATTGAAATTTAGGAAAAAGATAAACAGTGACTATGAGTTTCTTTAGAATGAAATGTAATTACATTTTTCACTTTTAACCCCTTCTTTCGAAGTGGGATGTAGCGAAGCTTCAGGATTTCAAGGTTGATTAGAGAGGGTTGTGTTTCTGCTCTTAGGGCGCAGGAGTTTCAGCCTTAGGATCATTCTACTTACTAATCTTTTGGGTTCCTAGTGAAACATATGACTTCCTTCAGAGGTACATTTTCATTCCATCGTATCTCTTAAGGTCCTGTTTGCCTGGTTCAGAGATCACTCATAGGCTGTCGTCTCCTCGTCACCCGATCTCCTTCATGTCACACTAGGAAGCCGTAATTGCCGCCTCCTATTTGGGTCCCATTCGACGACCTGGTGTGCGAAGTCACTGGTGGTAATGCCCAAAGAAATCAGCAATCCACCAAAGCTGACTATAAAAGCGCACTAGCGCTACTGGTTGCGTTCTACCCAGCTTTAGCTGTAACCATGGTGCCTACATAAGTGAACGAAGTGCCCTCGGTAACTCTAAACTATAGCAGCTCAAAGCGAAACTACCAGCGAACGGACAAATGGCCTTGACAGGGACAACTCTGACCAATCAGAAAGCTCAAATCAAACGGCACATAATTTTAATAAATTGTTTATATAAAAAGTAATGCAATGTTAAAAAATAGTTACAAAGGACAATTTTCGCGTACATGCTGCGAAAACCCTCCCCAATTTCTCATAGGAGTCTTGATACTCCTGTTAAACCAAGACCTATACATAAACTCATCGAGATAACTGTATATCATTGCATTCCTTGATCCATTCACAGATCTGATCCGCTTTTTTAGGTGAAACTTTCGATGGAATTAGTGTGAGTTCCATCAAAAGGATTGATAAAACCATATGTATGGTTGAGCACTTGATGAATATAGCCCGGATTTGATAACTGACTGTAACTACTCCATTCATCTGCATTAATAGTCATCCCAGGCAGAACTAACCTCTTGATAATAGGCAATAATACCCCTGCACTGAGATTAGGGATAGCCTTAGTGTATGCTTTCTGGAGGCTGGTGTCATATATTCCTAATGTCTATTTCTGATTCGCAGTCAATCTCACTTGATTGAACGAATGATATATCTCCTCGAACTGATTTTCTGGTTCGGCATTCATTTCACCAATAAACAAACCCATCGATGCACTTAGTGTATCTTTGTGTATGCATGACACCTCCTCATTGGCAATTTTTCAACCTTCCTATCAGTCCGTTCTCCAAACACTGATCAAAAACAAGATCTAGGGCGAATTTGCAACGTAAAAGGTGTGCAGCAGCCATATGTACGTCTGGAAAATACGGAGTCACCTGATTGGTTGCTCAAGGTCATTTGTCCGTTCGCTAGGTAGTTTCGGCTTGGGCTGCTATAGTTTAGAGATACCGTGACCTCTATCAAATCTCATCCCTGGATGGTGTTCGGTGCTGGTTGTTGTAGTTGTTGGTTGGTTGTTGGTTATCTTCATCACCTTTGACGTCTCTGTGTGTTCACTAGAAGTCCTGTATTTGCTGCTTGTTGGTTTTTGCCTGTAAATCTTAAAGTTTATGTGATGCTATACATAAATCATCCACTCGCGATATCCTTATCTTCTATAGTCCTCTTGTTGGTGATTTCAGCATATTCCTGTTTTATCCCTCACTCCCTGTACACATTCTTCCACAAATACAAGCCAGTCTTCCACAGTTAATAGGCAGCCTTGTCTTACTCCTGTGTTCACTTCAAAGGCTTCACTGAGAGTTTTATATTTTTTGCATTACCTTACACATGGCAGACATTGTCACAAAGCTGTTGGTTAAGATTGATATAGGCGTAAGCATTCATTGCACGCTGTATTGCTAAGGCAGTTTCCAAATTACTTCCCGGTCAACGCGATCAAAAAGGTATTTTCCAAAAGTCCATGGCTATTCTTTATGCCTTTTTCGATGATGACGATGCGTAGAGTTGTAATTTGATCAGCACATGATTTGCCTTATGCTGAATCCCTTGATCATGCATAGGATACAGAACACAAGCATCCGTAGTTAAAGGGAAATACTATAAGCGATGTATTAGTAACAATTTATTATATTATATTATTATTATTTCTTTTAATTCCTAGAGGAACATAGGGCTTCAGCCGCGCATCTCCATTGCGTTCGGTTCTCTGCTAGAGTTTTCACCTGGCTTCAAGTCTGCCCGCATGCTTTCATCTCATCTTTACAAGACCACCTCAAAATCACTCTCGGACTGACGACCAACTCGCTGCTTCCCTTTCGGGTTCCACTCGACGGCTTGTCTAATGATGTCACTCAGTTGATGGTTTCCTGAAAGTATGGCCACGAATCCACCTCCGTTTCACCCTGCATATTTCTTGCACAATCGGTTCCTGCTGGGTTGGTTCGTTCACTACCAGATACCTGTTGGTGATATTTTCTGGCCGGCCATCTGATCTTGAGTGGTATTGAGCGAGGACAGCTGTTGATGCAGATCTGTAGTTTGTTCGAGGTGCTCTACATGACGCGTCAAGTCTCTGATCCGTATAGTAGGCAGCACTGACTCCACATTGGAGTTGAAAATCCGGATCTCATTTTCTTTTCATTCTGAGTACTGCTGTTGAGAAATGAAAGCTCGCGTTGCTTTCCCAATCAATCCTCACTTTGATATCCTCATCAGTTCGTTCACCTGTAGTTGAAACGATGCTTTCTAGGTAGGCAGGTAAAGGAGGTTGCTTCATTCAGATTACTCCAATTTATGCCAGCCGTTGGCCAGGAATCTTCATCGTCACCTCTGTTTTCTTTATGTTCACCTGAAAGTGGTTTCTTCTCTGGATTCTCTTTCCATCGCCACTTTGTTGCTTTTATTCACTTGCACATCCTTCAGTTTGTGGGAAATCAGACGTATATCATCATCAGCGAAGTCCATGTCCTCCACGTTCTTTTTTGTGTGTCCATTTTATGCCTGTCTCCTAGTTGCCCGCCTCTGTCTTTCACATTATTCAGTCTACTGTAATGAGGAAAATCATTGGCGATAGTAGGCAGTCTTGTCTTACTCCCGTCTTCACTTTGAAGGATTCCGTGAGTTTCCCGCTGTGGATTACTTGGTATGCAGCATTGTCGCACAACTGTTGGATGAGATGTATAATTGTCGGCAGCACACCTTTGGTGGTAGCAAAGTAGTTTCCAAATCACCTCTCGATCGACAATGTTTATGGAAGGCCTTTTCGAAGTAGACGAATTTGAGATAGAGAAGTGCCTGCCATTAGTAACAATATCAACAGTATAAGTCCATTCAGCCTTTAATTAGTCCCACACATACTAATGAAAAGTTCATTAATGCCTAATAATCAATTATTATGTATATTTTCCCTTATTTTTTCTATCTATTCTAGGCATCATCATATTTTTCATTTCCAAACTGTCGTTTCACTATTCATCCAAGTAAAGAAGCAACTAGTCGTGTTGTCTTCTGGCGTGAATTTGAAGTAATCAATAGTTTTACTATGGAAGCAACATTTAATGCATCAACTTTAGAAAAGTAAGTGAATGTCTTTCAGGATATATTGATTTCTGACATCTGTTAGTTTTTTATGTTACAGTTGGTGTTCTATTTTGCTTTTTTTATTATACGTGTAAGTACAGAGTAGTTCGATAATCTTAGATAGTTGGAGGCCACAATCGGCCACAGGAAGCCTTGCACACCACCTAGGTTTCGTGCTAGTTGGCACTCACCAGTCAGCAAGGCGTATCCACAACCTTGAAGGAACTCATGTCCCTTCTGAGATTCGAACCCGCATCACCCAGTGCAGCCTGCAGTCAGAGACGTTACCACTGTGGAGCTACTCGGGCTCGCGATTGACCTCCTGTAGGACTGTAGTGGTTAGTTTGATTGGACACTAGTAACTAGTGTGATGTGTCTAGCCCTCTCTTTGTTGCAGACTGAATTCTATGAATCAGTTACTAGTGTCAAATCAAAAAAATTCGATAATCTGTTAATGAGGATCTTGATCATGGTGTGGTTGTATTCTCTAAGCTGGATGATTTAGTTGCGAACATTTCACTATCCTTCTAGACGAGATTTCCAGTGCAGAATTCAGATATCAAATGACCTCCTAGAATTCTTCACTAGTTTATCAGCCACCTCTTTCTTCCACTGACTTTGTTACAAATATTGATTATTTGAAAGAAAAAATGTAAATTTGTGCTAAGAATATTCTTTTTGATAATTTTCTCCTCTTTCTTTACAAATATATATATATATATATATATATATATATATATGTATATAAATTTATGTACACCGAATATTCTAGAATTATCGCCATTAACGATGTTAGTGTTTTTTATAGTTTCCTTGGGTTCCTAGTGGAACATAGGGCTTCAAATGCACGTCTCCACTGGCTTCTGTCTTCTACTGTGCTTTTCACCCGCATCCATGTTAGTCCATACCGTTTCAACTCCTCTTCACACTATCTCCTCCATGTCACCCTCGGACTAACGTCCCACTCGCCGCCGCTTCCCTTTCGGCCTGGTTCCACTTGAGCAATGACCTGACGCGCACGCGATGTCACCCAGCGGCGGCCTCCTCAGCGAGTGTCCAATCCATCCATCTCCACCTTCTCCTGCATATTTGTTGGTTGGCGATTGATTGGTTCCTTCCCATAGTTTCTTGTTGGCGATTCTTTCCGGCCCGATATCCGACTAATCTTCAGTGTAGAGCGATAGTTGACAGTTGTTGGTTGATGAAGGTCTGCAACAGGCTGTTGGTTGGAAATATTCTTCTTTGTGACCCACCCGTCAAGTTTCTGATCCGTATAGAAGAACTGTCTTCGCCGGCTGCTTCTTCGACCAGTTTGTCGGTTTTCGCTTGTAAGTCTTCGATTTTGTGACAGTGACATCAAACATAAATCATCTACGAGCGAAATCCAGGTCTTCTGGGTTCTTCACGTCGGTCTAGGATATCCCTGTCTTCTCGTTCCCCACTCACCGTCTGACGCATAATCTAGTCCACCACAATTAGGAATATCAGAGCAGACAGCTGTTGCTAAAATAAACAATGAAAGCCATTGAACAGACGTTTTGTACCAGTTTAGGACTCTTGAACTTGACACCTATAACACCACTAAAAATTTGACTAGGGCTTTGAGTTTACCAACGCAGTCGTTTAACGTTTCAGTTACTTTTAGTAGAATTCTTTAAAAGTTTCTTTTTCTTTTTGTTTCCTTTATTATAAAAGCAATGCTTTGATGAAATTAAATGTGGCAGACTTTTTGAAAATGGGCGAAAAATTCGGTTATTCACTGTACAAATTTCATGAAGTAATCACAGACCCTGTGTAAGTAATCGCTTCTTGTAGGATGAATGTAAAAATTTCTACACTGACGATTGGTTATTTCATACAAAATATTCATTTGGTTATTTGTAAAAAAATTACATTTGTAAAATCTCAGCTAGATTGAAATGAATAATTCCAATGTTTCTTAAGTTCGGAAATCTGATCTGAACTTCTTCAGGGAAATTAATCAAAATTTACATAACAGAGGTTTACATATAAAAGGAACATCTCTTGTTTTTAAAAACTTTGTCCAATTATGAGTCATAAAACAAGTATCGACAAGTATAATAAACAAAATTGTATGAGTTGTGATCAGAATTTGACCTCAGACTTACAAATATTGATCTACCTTTGTTAAACACTTTAAACACAGTGTGTATGTGTATGTGTGCGGATAAACAGTTGTAAAACAATGTCTTAACATCTCCATAAGTAGATATAGACAGTCGGGAAACTTTGACCAAGTATTATTAGTTAGTGATACATACCCATTCTTATTTATTAATCAGGATTTCCTATGCGTCATCTAACATCACACCTTCATGTCGGTTCAAACTATTAGTATCTAGAATTTTATGATTAGATGTATTTTCAAAATTATGGTGTTTAGGATTAGAGTTTAGTTGAAGCACCCTGTCAAACTTATTACTTTGTCTTCTTTCTGAAAATTGAGCTGCTTTATTCGACCTACTGAAGTTGTCAGGTGACTGGACAGCTACGAATTTAGGATACGCATTCTGTTGCAGACAACGGAGAGTGGAAACACGATGATTGTGCCAAGTACATATAGTTTCTTTGTTAATTTAATTCGACTGCAAAATAAATCAAATGAACTGTAGTCAAGATTTAACAGAATAGTTCTAGAATATTTGAGCGCCGAGTGAGAAGTAGACATTTGTAAAAAATTATATTTGTAAAATCTCAGCGATATTGAAATGAGTAATTCCAACGTTTCGTTCGGAAATCTGGTCCGAACTTCTTCAGGGAAATTAATCGCAATTAACATAACAGGTTTATACATAAAAGGAACATCTTTTGTTCTTAAAATCTTTGTCCAATCATGTGCGTCGGTGGCACAGTGGTTAGGACTCTCGCCGACCACGCACATGGTCCGGGGTACTATCCCTCGCCGACGCACACCTGATATCTATGGTCGGCCTGCGAATTTCGGGTTACCGATGTCCACGCTGAAAATTCCATACTTGTACCAAAAATACAGTGTGGAATCAAGCTGTAATCAAAAATAAAAAAAATAAAATAAATAAATTCATAAAACAAATATTAACTAGTTTAATAAACAAAGTTGTATGAGCTGTGATCAAAATTCGATCTCGGACTTACAAATATTGGTCTGCTTTTGTTAAACACTTTAAACAGTGTGCATGTGTGTGTGGGTAAACAGTTGTAAAACATTTCTTAATGTCTCCATAAGAAGATATAGACAGTCAGGAACTTTGACCAAGTATTATTTATTAGTGATACATGTCCATTTCTATTTATTAATCAGGATTTCCCATGCATCAGCTAACGTCAAACCTTCATGTCTGTTCAAACTGTTAGTATCTAGAATTTTATGATTAGATGCATTTTCAAAATTATGGTGTTTAGGATTAGAGTTTAGTTGAAGCACCCTGTCAAACTTATTACTTTGTCTTCTTTCTGAAAATTGAGCTGCTTTATTCGACCTACTGAAGTTGTCAAGTGACTGGACAGCTGCGGATTTAGGATATGCATTCTGTTGCAGACAACGGAGAGTGATAGCAAATCACAGTTCATACAATTTTGCTTATTATACATGTTGGTGTCTGTTTCATGATTGGGCAAAGTTTCAAAAACAAGAGATGTTCCTTTTATATATATATATACCTCTGTTATGTTAATTTCGATTAATTTCCCTGAAGAAGTTCGGATCAGATTACCGAACTTAAGAAACGTTGGAATTATTCATTTCAATCTAGCTGAGATTTTACAAATATAATTTGTTTTTACAAATGTCTACCTCTCACTCGGCGCTGAAATATTCTAGAACTATTCTGTTAAATCTTGACGACAGACAGTTCATTTGATTAGTTTGTAATCGAAAAAAATCCATGATGTAACAAAACCACAGAGAGTACGAGAATAGAGATGTCTAGACACCAGTGCTACCAAAAATTACTGAATGACACATTGCAGTTCCAGGCAGATAAGTCAAAGTAAACGATGTCACAAACAGCTTTGGCAAAATAGAGTGATTTTCTCCTGGCGATTCGACTATGGAATGCTCCAAACCTTCATGAACCCTGTTCAGTAGCTACACGATAATGTCACATACTTCATGATTGACAACAGAAATTTTAGTAAAGATTTTGAATAGGAGAGATTAATTACACAAGGCTGCCGACCATCATTGATGATACTTCTCAATGTGACGGACTGTATCTTATGACGGATCACGGGGAGTGAGAAGACGGGCATTGAAGATCTAGACTTCTCTCAGACTACTTACTGTCTAATGTCAAACAAACTTGAATATGTTTACATATATTATATATGTCCAAACCAAGTTCACTTTTAACAGTTTGAAAAAATTTGGGCACTGGGTATATGATATTCATTATAATAAAGGTTTTTGTATTTCCCAATGAATGAAAAACAAAATGATATTGCTGTTTTTACTGACATTTCGTTATTTAATGCTGCCAGTAGCTTTATCAGAGTATTAAAAAACCCGAATTTTCAAAATTCCAGCACATACATAACAACTTAATCATCGTTCCTCAGTATGCTGTCATTAACGCAAAGTTATCAAGTCTTGTTTCAAGTCTTCCTGAACGAGCACACTCTCTGATAACAGATGAAACTCTCAAGCAAAACAACTACCCAAAGAACTTCACCAACAAGATCAATTACGACATTAATCATAGCCGGAAACACGTATTCCAAAGACATGGACGCCAACAGTTGTCATTCCACATAGATCAGAAACGTCAGACGATATTAGAAGAGTAATCAATAAACACAACATCAAAGTTTTCTTCAAAACATCAGACACGCATTGAAAAGTAACCTTTTCGATATAAAAGACCATATGCCTAAAGATTCTTCACCTAATTGTGTCTATTAAATGAAATGCTTGCTTGGTATGTGATGCGATATACATCGGATAATCATCGCCCCAGAGAAGTCAAGATAATCAACAGAAATGAACACTGTAGAGCCGCCTCTTTTCGACCACCAAGAAATCCAGTTGAACCAGAAAGGCTTGAAAAATCATCAGCCATTGGTCGGTTTACGCGCTATAGAATCAGGTCACAAAATTGATTTGATAACATTGAATTAATCGAGAAAAATTTCAGAAATCACAAAGAACGTCTAATATCAGAAGCCAGCCATTCATATCAAATGGAATCCAAATTTTCTGAACGGGAATGGTGGACTGAAACAGAATTTGACCTAGTTGGTTACAACACCCACCTCCTCCCCAATGAAATGACAAAATCAGCACGAATGTATGACAGGCAGTTTCATTGTATAAACACATGCTGCTTTTATAATTTTACACTCTAACCGAATTCAACAATCTACACCTGGTTTTGTTATCTTTACCGATTGGCCAACCTGCCAAAGCAAAAATGACCCCGTGCTGATGAACGATGATTAAGTTTAGTATATACAAGCTGAGATATTTTAAAATGTGGTTTAACAATACTACTTTGATAAAGCTACTAGCAGCAGCGTTAAATAGCGAAATTTCAGTAAAAACAACAACAACAATCTCGCTTTGCTCTTTTTCATTCACTGGGAAATACAAGAAAACGTTTATTGTAATGACAAACCATCAATCGTTGTCAGTGGGAGAAATTTGAAGGACATCACTTCTTTCATTTGCCTTGCTAGGTAGTAATGTCTCAACTATAGGCGGCATTTTCAACAGGCTAATGAAAAATTTCTTCAACAACTGTTCATTTTGCTCTATGCTAAAGATCGGAGGACTGGTCAAAAAGGATAAAGGCCCAAGGAAGTCATATAAGCAACGTACCAGCCAAGAAATGAAGATATACCGGCAATACTCTGAGAAGCAGACTGTTAAGTGATATCATGCGCCACGTAGACCTCTGAATGGAATTCGAAGGAGAGACGGCAAGTAGCGAATGGGTCAAGGGATGACATAATGGAGATTGTTTTTAGGGGAAATGAAAGTCTATGGGCAATCATTGAGCCGGCCAGCCAGCTAAAAGGGGTAACAGAGTACGAGATGAAATGGTGATGTGCTTGCTGTTCAATCCCTACACTCCCCTTGGAATCCGGGAGAATAATGATGATTCACTCAAATACACCAAAATAAATGTGTCGAAATCTAGTTCACTTGAAATCTCATGTTTCTCTAGCTGAACGTTTAGTAGAATCCAGTTAAGGGGATTATTTCTAAAAGATTTGAATAACTGAGATTGAATTTCTACTAATATTAGATGGCTGGAGGCAATCGGCCACAGGAAGCCTTGCACACCACCTAGGTTTCGTGCTAGTTGGCACTCACCAGTCAGCAAGGCGTATCCACAACCTTGAAGGAACTCATGTCCCATCTGAGATTCGAACCCGCATCACCCAGTGCAGCCTGCAGTCAGAGACGTTACCACTGTGGAGCTACTCGGGCTCGCGATTGACCTCCTGTAGGACTGTAGTGGTTAGTTTGATTGGACACTAGTAACTAATGTCATGTGTCTCGTCCTTTCTTTGATGCAGGCTGAGTTCTGTCAGTCACGTTTGTAGTGTGGCCACCATTCTAGGTAGCTTGCCTTTCTGACGAGTGCCAACTAGCACTAAACCTAGGTCAGGCAAGGCTTCCTGTGGCCGATTGCCTCCAATCATCTAATATCATCAAATCAATGTGCACCATGATGGAGAGGTACCTGGTAGCATGGTGGCCACATTAAAAACCTGACTGATAGAATTCAGTCTGCACCGAAAAAAAGGACCAGGAATATCACACTAGTTACTAGTGTCCAATCAAAATTGAAGTATACTGTCGCAATTCGGGGGATTTATTCACTGTACTGTCATATCATTTAATCGGACTTGATACTCAGGCAGATTCACTACATGCGTAGACTAAAATAAACACATTTGACGGCTATTAATTATGAGTACTTTGCATTCCTTTTGAACTCTCAGTGGAACATTAAGATTTATTCTTTAAGCTCTGAAGTTTGATTGGTGGTGGTTTTGATTTTCTTTACTGAATGGAGTTACTGACGTCATTTTGAGGCTGTAGATTTAGCATAAGGCTTCCCTAAATCAATACATGAGAATTCGATGTGATGACTTACAGTGGGACGCAGAATACGGATACCATTCTATTCAAAACTCATCAAGTGGATCTACTTCTATCGATTTGAATTATAATATCCCCACTATGATACGAACTTGGCATAAATACCAGTGCACTGAAGATCTGAGATGCATGTTTACTGCACCGCTGGTAAGCTCGGCGACAAACCAGAGGAATGGGCTGGCTATTCAGTAATTAACATCACTTCCGTTTGATGAGCAAGCACTGCTGACTGACGTGATTGTTTTCCAACTATTCATGTTAGTCAGTAGTATATGCCATATGTTATGCGGTTGGTATTACTTGTTCCTTTTTATTGTTGATTCGATTTGACCGAACCAGTAAGTTTCATTTAAAGAATGAGTTCTCTAAAAAATGCAACTTAGACCTCATCATGCGTCGGTGGCACAGTGGTTAGAACGCTTGCCAGCCATTTACATGGTCCGGGATTCAATCACCGGCCACAGACGCACTTCTTTACCTCGTTCAGTCAGTAATAGAACTGGTAAAGAGGGGAAGTTGGGTGGACATGAGGCTTGCTAGCCTCACCCCGTAAAAATAAACACCACTGCAACAGAAACTTCGAGCCCCACTGGGAACGTAAAGGAATAAAAAAAGACCCCATCTTAATTAGGTACCATCCAATGAATAAGCCTTGACTGACGTAGGCCATTAAAGCACAAAACCAAATCCACGGCTTCTTAACTATCGGAGAAGGCTGCCGAGTAGTTCTACCACGGGACGGCACTGTATGCAGTTCTGGTGTTGCAGTGGGCTAGGATGAGTGTGATTTAGGTTTTCCTGAAAACCAGTGGGTTTATCAACATGCAAAATGCATCAGTGGACAAGGGTTAGAATGTCGGCCAACCATGCAAGTGGTGTGGGTTCGATTCCCGGCTAATACACTCCTATACCTCATCAAGTTTACTTACTAGCTGGTAGGAAGCTTAGAAAAGGAGGGAAGGTTTAATGTGAGGCTAGCAACCCCATCCCGTAAAACGGAATAACATCATCTCTACGTCATCGCTTGAAGACCTATGCTCAACTTGGAACGTGAAGAGATGAAGAAGACATTTTATGTTAATTTTCATTGTTTTTCATACTGAATTTGTTTGTTGATAAAATATGTAGATAACTTTTGTCTTTGCGTACTACAGGAAGCTTCAACAAACCTTGAGAAGTTTGGCGAAAGAAACATTGACCAACCTGTGTAAAACCCGTATCTCGTATCCCGTATCTGATAATACATTAGCAAAGGCGTATAAAGGTAACATGTTTTGTGAGTGGCTAGTTGTTTTACCTAAAGTCAATAGAGCAGGTTGAAGGTGAGGCAGTAAGTAACTCATCGAGGAAGATATTGGCTGCGAAGTGGTTGCGCTATGTGTGTCATGAATTGGTAGAAGCTAGACTTCATGGACTAGCCATTGGATTAGCGGGTCGCAGTAGCCTAATGGTCTACGAGCTCGCTAGCCTAGTAAACAGAAGGTAGAAGGGTTGGAACCCCAATGGGGTGGTTGTGTACTGGTGAAGAGTTCCAAACTAGACTGACGAAACAGTACTGCCTGAAAGTTTTCTAATGGTTCTGTAGCCGATGTCAGCTCATGATGAAATCCTGTAATCAATGAATCGAATCCCTACAAAACCGACACCTGAAAAACGAGATAAAAACTATTGAGAATTTTGTATCCGGACATGATTACTTTTCTTCCAGGCCTCTGATACTTCAGACGTTTACGGAGATGTCTTCGCTATGTACAGAATTCAGGGATAAATAGGTAATTATATGCTTGTAGTTTTTTCAGTTTTCAACAAATTTTACTTCATACTGTAAAACATAAGAAAGATCGATAATTTCAAATCTGAAAAAAGGTGTAGTTTACACCATTAAAAGTTTGATACTGGATCATCTGGTGCAAACCGGCCACAAAGCCAGCGTGGAAGAATCCTTCTACATGACGCAATAACGTCATGTTCAGTCACCAAGGAGGAACAAGGTTAACCAATGTGTCTCTCAGTCAACATTTGGACCTGATTTTAACCGTTTGATGACGGTTTGATGCCTTAGCGAAACGTAGCAAGTTAGGTTTCTTTTCTCAGCTGATTATTCTGACCGCCTTCAGATTGCCAATATTATAACCAATGTCTTATAGGTTGTGCCTTATCACACTATTTAAAGCCTATGATTCCCGCGGTTTCCGGTTCTTTTGAATGTGTTGAGAAATGCGGACAATATCTCTTCTATCTCTGGTTTTACAGGTACGTGTAGTCCAAGGTACCATGAAGTGGAATTTTCCTTCCACCTCAGATAATGTGGTATATATCTGTCTGTCTGATTCACATGAAAACTGAGTACTATTCGTCTCTCACTTCAAATATATGTCGACTTGACAAGTAAGTGTGTGTGAGGGATCGGATTGTTCTAAATGTAGATGGTACAAATACATCCCACATTAGTTTTCAGATAATCTCCATCTTCTAATAACAACACAATCCATATCATATCTAGTCTCATCTAATTAATAAAATACTTTTAAACTTTTGTCTAACGGTTGTGTACTTTAGAATACGTAGAATATTTTCTGGTAGAGTTATACTACTAGTTAATAATGACCATTAGTTTAAACCACTCGTAGATTTTCTGCTGCTTAGAATTTCCGAGACTGATTTCAACAATAATAGTAGTAACGACAGGAAGGTACAAAGATTAAATAATTTAAAAAAATCAACAAAAGAACGAGAGAATAAATGCTTATCCCTCTACAAACAAGGTAGAAATACGGATTCTACATACTTCCTCTCTGTACACAAAGATCTGGCTTGATGAACTAATCAATGGTCAAGGCCTCCACCATCTTTAGAAGTTTAGAATGAAGAAATGGGCTGGAAATTAGCATGAATTCAACAGATGGTATTCTCTAAAACCATGATCGGAGCTGGTAGATTGACAGAAGTTGATCAAGTGTTCTAGAATGGAGCTTCATATACCCTTCCTTTCTCCTCTGCAAAATATACAAATATATATTAATGCATATAGTTAAGACATAGGGTTGTTAACAACTTATCTTGTTTGAGGCGAATCGCTCCGATGATTTTCGCAATTTATTAGGCCCCCGGTAGATTATAGAGGAGGTGTCTTGCACGCTAGCTTTGTGGCCGGTTTGCACCAGATGGTCCAGTATCGAACTATTAATGGTTTTAACTACACCTTTACTTAGCTTGAACGAATCCTTCTCTATAATCTACTGGGTGCCTAATAAATTGCTAGAAACATTGAAGTACCGCATGCTCCAAACAGCAGTGGCTATTGCAACTCGCCTCAAACAACCAGTGCTCTGTGTCCAAAAGAAGCAGGTCCAGCCAGCCATTACTACTGCACTGATTGGCCCTCAGTAGAGACTATAAATTCATGAATTTGTAATATTATCTTTCCTAATTTTTTCTGACATTCAGTGTAGTGTTATGTTGATGGCATTTAACTGTAATCTATTGATATTATTGATTTAATGTTATTTAAACAGCAACATTAATGTTGTTCATAACACTAATTGATTCATTTGCTATATTGCATATATAACTGTAGAGCCTGATGATGAAGGGGTTATCGTGAAGAGTACTCTTTGTTCAGTAACCATTCTTTTGAAACTTTCTGAATACTTTAAGGATGACTGGCTTTAAACTGATATCTTCTTGTTTGTGAGATAAGGCAAAACGATTATTGTTTCCATTCCTGATACAACAAAAATACAGCAGAATGACAAGTATCACAGCTAAATCTCACCTACTTGGTAGTATGCTTGAGATGTAGGGAAGGCTGAGAGTAAAGCTAGCAACCTCGATAATAAGAAAAACTTTCTTTCTTCAAAAATTTTGTAGAAAGTGGTACTGATTATATATATCCATATTTAAATATCGAATTTTTTTAAATTATCGGTTTTTTTTTACTTAAAGACAATGAAGCGATAAATAGTCAAGTGTCACGTGATTTCTTATCACCTGATTTGAAAATTTATGATTTTATTCGATCTCAACAAGTATGCTGCACACCACAGACACCACCACTGCAACCATTAACAGCAATGACGTCAGCGTCAACGGAGACAGGCGAAGTATATACATCGAATAATCAAATTGACAACTTGTTGAGAGAATGTTTATTGAATTCATCTAGTGAGAATATGTCTGGTGATACTACGGGTGCTGGTGATCGTCACATTGATGAAGAGCAGGGGAATTCATTTGAAAACTTAGCTAGAATAATCTATTTGTTGGAAAATTCAAATCAGTTGAAAAATACAAAGTCGAATGAAAATAATAATGATAAAAATAATCATTCGAAGATAAGAAATGAAGATGCCAGCAGGTAGGTTTTTATCATTAATTTGTTTGAATACAATTTCGATTTGGCGGGAATATATACATTCAGACATTTAGAAAAAACAAAATAAATTGAGCTAAGAATGCTGCTTTCGATAATTTTCTCTTCTGGCTTTACAATTATATATATACACACAGAATATTCTAGAATAGTAGTCAATAACAATATTGGTGTTTTTTTAAATAATATCGATCTTCAAAAGAATGATTATTGAACAAAGAATACTCTTTTCGATAACTTCATCATCAGGTTCTACAGTTATATATACATTATAGTGAATGATTTATAGACTTTGAGAAGGCCTTCGACTTACAGCGTTGACCGCGAAGTAATTTGGAAACTACTCGAGCATTATGGCGTACCCGAACTATTCATCAACCTTATTCAACAGCTGCTGTACGACAACGGCACATGTCAAGTGATTCACAACGAAAAACTCAGCAAGGCGTTTGGAGTAAACACAGGAGTCAGACAGTGGTGCTTATTATCACCCAGAATGATATTCCTAATTGTGGTGGACTGGATTATGCGTCAGACGGTGAGTGGGAAACGAGAAGACAGGGATATCCTGGACAGACAGACGTGGAGAACCTAGAAGACCTGGATTTCGCGCGTGGATGATTTATGTTTGATGTCACTATCACAAAATCGAAGACTTACAAGCGAAAACCGACCGACAAACTGGTCGAAGAAGCAGCCGGCGAAGACAGAACTCCAAGTGAACATAGACAAGACGGAGGTTATGAAAATAACTAGCCAACAAGAACAACAGCAGCAGCAACATCCAGCGCCAATCACCATAAAAACCGGAGGAATTTGAAAGAGGTTACTCACTCTCTTATCTAGAGAGCACTGTCTCAGCTACAGGAGGTCGGAACGGACGAGGATGTCAAATTGAGCGAGAATCGGGAAGGCGAGCGAGAAACGCATTCATCAACCTGAAACCAATCTAATCTGGAAATCTTCGTCACTCAACTCAGCATCAACAACAAAATTCGGTCGGATTTTCAATACAAACAACGTCAAGTCAGTCAGTCCTTCTATACGGATCAGAAACTTGGCGGGAGGGTCACAAAGAAGAATATTTCCAACCAACAGCCTGTTGCAGACCTTTATCAACCAACAACTGTCAACTATCGCTCTTCACTGAAGATCAATCAGATGGTCTGGCCGGAAAGAATCACCACCAACAAGAAACTATGGGAAGGAACCAACAAACCAAGAACCAATCAATCGCCAACCAACAAATATGCAGGAGAAGGTGGAGATGGATGGATTGGACACTCGCTGAGGAGGCCGCCGCTGGGTGACATCGCGCGCGCGTCAGGCCATTGCTCAAGTGGAACCAGGCCGAAAGGGAAGCGGCGGCGAGTGGGACGTCGGTGTAAGGGTGACATGGAGGAGGAGATCGTGTGAAGAGGAGTATGGACAGTATGGACTAACATGCATGGATGCAGGTGAAAAGTACAGCAGAAGCAAGACAGAAGCAAGTGGAGACGTGCATTTGAAGCCCTATGTTCCACTAGGAACCCAAAGGAACAACAATAATAATGGTGAATGAGTGAATTAGTGTTATGAACAACAGTAATGTTGTGTCAGTAACACCGAATCAATAATATTGATGGATTACAGCTCAGTAGCATCAACATAAAATAATCTGAATATCCGAAAAATTAGGAAAGATAATATTACGAATACATGAATTTCTAGTCTCCACTGAAGGCTGTCCAAGGTACTAGTAGTAGTAGTGACTGCCTGGACTTGCTTCTTTTGCATACAAAGCACTCGTTGTTTCACGCGAATCTCTACAGCCTCTGCTGTTTTCATCATGCGGTACCTCGATATTTTTGGCATTTTATTCGATACCCGGTAGAAGATGATAGAGGAGGATTCCTTCTTAATCACTGATGGCTTTGTGGCCAGTTTTGACCAAGTGATCCAATATCGAACTATTGTTGGTTTTTACTACAACTACTACTATCGCCCTGGCCAGCCTTCAGTGGAGACCAAAAATTCATGAATTTGTATAATGATTACCTTTTCTTATTTTCTGATATTCGGTTTATTGTTATGTTTATGCTATTCAGCTGTAATCTATCAATATTATTGATTCGATGTTATTTAATCAACCTTGATGTTGATCATAACACTAATTCATTCATTCATTCGCTATAATGTATATATAATTGTAGAGCCTGATGATGAAGGGGTTATCGAAAACAGTATTCTTTGTTCAATATCCATTCTTTGGTAAATTTTAATGGGCATTTTAATCAGTTAATATGGATTTGTTAAGTAAGATCAATGCAGTTACGATTCGAGAAAGATGCACAAATTATAATAAGCATAAAAATGTAATAGCAAATAGAATATCAAATAAAATTAGGGAAATTTTGCCTAGCAAGTTGAGAATTACTAAAGCCTTGATGGCCAAGGTAAGGACAGTGTTTGAGCCAACCAGCTTCTCCGAGTTTCATACATAAGTTAGGTTTTTTTTAATGTGAATCCCAACGGCCAGGCTCAGCAATATGTAGTGGATGAACTCTTAAGGTGAAGCTAAGATTAGCTGGTATGCTGTAGATGACTTTGATAGCTGCCTCGTTAACATCAATCTTGTGTTCTGTATCCACAAGATGAGATAGAATAGAGCTACGAATGAATTTTGTTTGTCCTTTACTTAACCACTCAGGATGATATTCGGAAATCCAATGAGGAAGGTGCCTTATTGTACAGCCTATGCAACTGGCTCTACAAGAGCAGTCAAATTGGTAGATACACAAGGAAGAGGCGAAGTTAGGCAGTTTATCTTTAACTCCCGAATGCAAAATAGGCGGTGGTTTTGAAGACACAGCATAATTCAGCAGCATTGAATGCTCTTTTACCGCCGTATTCCTAAGGTGTTGTGTTATCCCCGAGGAAATGAATTCGTAAGAATAACGCTTTTTTCTGAACTGTTGGTACACTGGGTTGCTTTGATTTTGGATTTATATTCTTATACATGAATTTTTCTGGATAATCGTTCTAATGATCCTTAGGTGGGTGTGGAAATTTCCTTAAATTTTATTTGATATCCCGTTTGCTAATACCTTTTTATGCTTATTACAGTTTAAGCATCTTTAGTGAAGTGTAATTCCACTGATCTTATTCTAAAAACACTAGTATTGCTAATGGCGACTTTTCTAGAATATTCTGTGGAAATTATCGAAAAGGATATTCTTTGCACAATTTCCTGTTTTTCCTATATACATTTTGATTGATTTCATTTTTTCTGATTTTGGGCTGTCGTTTTGTTTTTACGACTTTGACCACGGAGGATTGATATCAGTTAGCGAACTATTGAAAACCAGCACTAGTGTACCGGACAACTGCTTCATCCTAGTTTGGGAATCATCAGCAGTACTCACCCATCCATCCACCAGGGTTCGAACCCAGTATCTTCCGGTTACAAGACGAGCCAGCTCGTAGACCATTCAGCCACTGGGACCCAATTCATCAATGGCCAACACATGAATTCTAACTTCTACCAATTCATGGTTTAGCGTAACCACCAACCAATGTTTCGATAACGTCTTCTTCGTCAGGTTCTGCAGTCGTAATGTAAGAGGAGGCAAGAGACTTGATAATGGAATTTTAATTTAGGAAAATCACACCATATTTATATTTTTTTAAATCAGATTTATGATTGTCTAGGTCAATGTGCGATAAACTCTTCTGATTGGTTGCTTATTTTCTGAAGGTTAAACTTTGAGATTATCTCCTGACCACAATATAAGCTAGATTCAGACTTGAAAAACAAGTGCGTCTACTTATTTAGCCACTGACTGAAAATATTGCTTTCAGTTTCCGCTACTTCCTACGAATTTGTTTGCTTGTACCACTAATAAATTTTGTCAGTAGCATATTATTATTATTTCCTTTAATTCCAAAAGGAACATAGGACTTTAGCTGCGCGTCTCCGTTGCCTTCGGTTTTCTGCCAACTTTTTCACCCCGCTCCAAGTCTGCCCACATGCTTTCATCTCCTCTTTACATCACCTCATCCAAGTCACCCTCTCACTGACGACCAACTTGACGCTTCCCTTTCGTCGGGTTCCACTCGAGCAATGGATTGTCTAGTGATGTCACTTGATGGTTTTCTCAGAGTAAGGCCACCAATCCATCTCCATTTCTTCCTGCCTATTTGTTGCACAATCGGTTCTGGCTGGGTTGGTTCGCTCATTGCCAGAGATCCCTCTCTGTTGTTGATCTTTTCTGACCGGCCATCTGATCTTGACTGGTATTGAGCGAAGACAGTTGCTGATGCAGGTCTGTAGTATATTTGAGGTGCTCTAAATGACGCGCAGTGCAGGTCTCTGATCCGTATAGTGAGTAGCGCTGACTTCCCATTGGATTTGAAGATGCTGATCCTATTTTCCATGTTGAGTAGTGCTACTGATTTCCACACTTATATATATATTTATATGACCAAAGGCTCAAAGTTCAGGTCAAAGAAACAATCAGTACCAATATAAGTAGTCTAGAGGTTTTCAAAACACAAATACAACCAATCACATTCAACGTCACCCACTATGCGAGATGATTAACAAACTAGTAGAAAAATCTACAAGGTCACTTCAAAATTAAGTATGCGCTGAAGATGTTGATTAGTAGGGCAACGAAAGCTTCGTAGATAAACCATCCAGCTCAGAGAGAACAGACCTGTATCAAAATGATTCCATTTTATTTGATGAAAGCCACATCGGTGTTATCAGAAACAGTAATCGGCAAGTGATTATGATTGCTCTCTAATTTTATGACTAAAGATGCCCGCAATCAATTTCGAGAAACTGAGATTAGTGCACAAAGGAATATGCTACTCGATAATTCCTTCATCAGGTCCTACAGTTACATGTGCATAATCATTATCAGGGAATGATTGTTATTGACCATAATATTTTAATTCTCAATCGTGTGAAATTTTCCCATATCACATGAATTAAAAGTTGT